GATGGCAGGTGAGTGTGGCTTGGCTGAAACATCCCAGAAGGCCAAGTGGGAGGGTTCTCTACTGTTGATTTATTGAAAAGTTTTAATTTAATGGGATCCCAGAATTTTGGCTGGGAAAAGCACCGCCTAGAAAGTGTAGAATCTAGGCAGCGCCCAATTGTTCAAGTTATTATAGGGAAATGGCTCTATTTTTTTATTTATTTAAAATCACCTTTTTTTTTTTTACCATTCCACATTGCAGACCAGCTTCAGAGCTGATCACAATGAAAATGCAATTGAAAGGGCCACCAAATACCTGCTTTTAACATGCTGTTGTTTTTATGCACAACTTGTACAAACACATCTAAACGTGTAACCCATTAGTCTGACATTAAACTCCTAGTAAAAGCCTAAGTGAACAGCTGGCTTTGGAAATTTAACAACATTAGTGCCATTTGTATCTTAGTGTGAAGGAAATCCCAGAACTGGGGTTCCACCACCACTAATAAGGCTCTCCCATGTTTTTGCCACTGATTGAACCACAGAGAAAGGTAGTGCGACCATGGAAGCTTCCTTGACTGATCTTATCCCACAGGCTGCCCTATAAGGGAGCAGTCAGGTCCCAGGTTGTTTAAGGCTTTGTATTGGAGTAGAAGAACCTTCTAAGACTACTGTTCAACACACACAAACTGTGCACATGGTAGTAGACCATGCAGCAGCTCTGCTGATTGCTAGGAAGACCATGCAGGAAAGTAATTATAGGAGCATCCATTTGTCCTGGCTAGCATAGTTTGACCTTGGGGAAGGCAATCAGACTGAAGATATGAAGCAACTTCCCCAGTGTTTCAGAAAGGAAGCAAATAATTTCTGGGCTAAACAGCTTTTGTGAGAATCTGCTGCATTCAGACAACCCAAGTATAGCAGGCTGGGTGTGGACACTTCTGCAAAAACTGTTTTGGTGCCCATCTTTAAAAGGTGTGTGCAAATTTATCTCCATAGCTGGATTATGGTTCTGAATGAAAACTGATTGCTTTCAGCAGGAAGCATCTTGCACTCTTAGCCAGTATGAGATGTGTAGCTCTTGTCTCTTGACTCACTCTGAAGAAGCCTCTTTCTAAAACCCATACCTCTTTCTTTCACATTGCTCCTATCCAAAATAGAGTTTTATTATAAACTGAGATGTCAGGATAGTCCAGTGGGGCCTGACAGAATATAACAGGAAAAAGAAACTAGACCGTAGCCTTTGCATTGATTCTCATTCGATTAAATCTTGTCTTTATTTGGGAGCTTCATTAGGAGAAAGAGAGTTGCTTTTGAGGTTGGTGCTGATGCAATCAGTAGTGTGCTCTCGTTCCTCCAAATTAAGGCAGAGGCTTGCTTTGGGGGGGAAGTGCAGGATACAGATTGGTTGGGTTCTGTGAAGTCGTAATGGTTATCTGGCTCCAATCTGCATGACTGCGTAACAAGGGACATGGCTAGCATTAAAAAGCCAAACTGTATGAAGTGATAGTTATCAGGTGATTAAGCTTAAGCTTTCCCAGCTTGGGTCCAGTTGAAAAGTAGTGTTTTTTGTGTGATAAGAAGCCTCTGCCTGTGATAGCTATGCTGGCAATTTTGCACAATTGAGCCACTGAAATGATTAATTGCATCTGTTGCAGTGAGAAACATGGCTGTGTTGTTCTGCATAAAGCCCAGTTGTAACTCTAATCAAGCGAACCCTCACTAGTGGAGTATGCCATATATGGTTGGATTGGAAATATATTTTGTGTTCCTTATGTCCTCTAGTGATGGTGTCATGCTCTCTTAACCCTCCTGGACCAAGCATATATATGCTTGTATATTTTCCTTCTCTATATGCTTGCATTTGTCATATTTTTCTATTAAGTTCGAATGCTAAGAAGCTTGGGTCGGGAGCCTCAGGCTCTAGACCAGGGATGGGGAATTTTCAGTCTTCCAGGTGCTGTTGGATGACAGTTTCCATAATCTCTGACCATTGTCTATGCTGGCTGGGACTGATGGGAACTGAGGTCCAACAACATCTGGAGGGCCACAGCTTCCCCACACCTGCCCTAGAGAGGAAGGCCACCCACAATCATCCCTAGATTGTAAGGCTGTATCAGATTATTCACTCTACAGCAAACCTGATAATTTCAGCATAAGGCATTGGATGCTTAAACAGATTACAGGAGAGAAGCTACTCTGGTTCATAGCCATCAAGACAAGACTTTCCAATCTGGTGTTCTCCTGTACTACAACTCCCATCAGTCCTAGGGCCCCAGCCAGCATAGCCAAGGCTGATGGAAGCTGTAGTCCAAAATATCAGGAGGCCGCCAGGTTGGTAAAGGCTAGACTGCTGTGATACAAGCATTCATAGGCAACTCTACTTTATCAAATGCATCAAAGAAAGTAGGCTGCTGAATTAATACTGTTCCAGCTTTGCTCATGCCGCAGTATACTAATTAAAGCTGAGCTGATTCACAAAATCGTTCTGCTTGTTTGGGCGGCATTTAAATAACTTCTTGCTTGTTTGTAATTTATTGGTTGTATAGATTGAATGCGCATGTGCATAACTGCGGCTTTGTTCACCATGGATAACCTAGACTAGACTTCTTCTTAAACATGGGGTCCTCCAGAAGTTGCTGGGCTACAGCTGTTGTAACTATACCCATACTAACTAGGATTGATGGGACTTGTAGTTAGGAACAGCCTCCCAAATATTTTGTTATCTGAGGCAGTGCAGGAAATGATGCCATTCCTTTATCCCCAGTCATGGTACCCAAGGTTGATCAGGTTATTTTGACACCTGAGGGAAAAGTCATGCAAGATTGTTGTATTTTTGCAACAATAATAAATTAAATAACTAACAGTTTGCTACCCTTTCATGACACCCCTAATCTGCCGCCTGAGGCAGCTGTGTCACACTGCCTAATGGTTGGGCCAGCTGTGGCCATAGTCCAAAAGCACCTGAGGGACAGCAGGTCAGGAAGGTCTGATCTAGACCAATTATGGGCAATATGTGCCCCATCTGATTGGGTTGGCCAGTCCTGCTTTGTGAAAGAATATGTGTAAAGATGGTGGTGATATGGGTCAGGGGATTCTTGGTGGTTGCCCCCAAATTATAGAACTCTCTTCTGAATGAGGTTTGGTTGTTCCCCCACACTGGCCACATTTAGATGCAGCATGAAAATTTTTCTATTTGTCCAAACCTTTGGCACATAGTTGATAACTTTGTTGACTTTGCTGTAATGTTGTTTGTTTATTTGTATATTTGGATCTGATGGGCTCCTATTGGAACAATGAATGAGTGACTAAATAAATAAATAAATAAATAAATAAATATTGTATTTGTATTTAAATTGCAATAATTTTTACTGAAAAAGTGGATGTACAAATTATCATGGGCAAATCTGTGTTCCTTTTGTGCTCTTTTTTGCTTTTGTTTTTGGTGGGAACCTCCCCCACCCCCCCGGTGCTGGATTTGTAAATAAACTAATGCAGCCTGAGTTTTTTAACACACACAAGCGCTAACATAGGGCTGAACTCTTTTTCTGTGCTGCTTTTGAGGGCGGCTGCAGACAGAGGTTAAAGAGTGTACTTGGGTGGAGAAGGGCTGGCTGAAAAAGACAGAAAATTATGCCAACCTGCAAAGCAGTCTTTTGGCTTAGCCTCATGAGAGGTTGTGGAATTTGGGCCCTTGAGGAGTGGATTTCTAGCCCAACTTCTCATTTAGAAACTCATGGCTTCCTGATTGGAAACTGAGGAGAACCCTGTGGAATTTCCTACAGATTATGTGAATTGTTCCACGTAGCAGAGCAGGTCTCTCCTCCCCTCTGTTCTGTGAGGCAGTTAAGTATCCACCACACTCTTAAAGTGAACGATGCCTGTCTATCTAGCTTCCAGATACCAAACTGCCAGCTGTCTTTTTGCTCTCCAGACCCATTACATTTCATTGCAATTCAGTCTTGTACATTAGCATAAGCCTGGAAAAAACGAATCCTGCATTTATACCTAATGCCATATACACAATATATGTCAACCAATTCTAGGAGGATTTACGCATGTGAGCTAGTCAGGATAACTGTTTGACAGCCCTGTTGCCAGACTTATGAAATGCTGTGATATCCTTCTAGATTGTAGGAAGGCCTCTATATAAATGCAAAAGAGTATATTGTAATTCTTAGTTTAGCACACTTGGAATTTGCTTCAAAACCAATTACCCCTAAATCCCCCCCCTTTTAAAAAAGTCATTTTGAGAGCTCTGCAGAGTGCCTTTCAATATAAATTTGGTGCATCAAAAGTCTAATGCAACAGTCAGGCTAGATTATGGGACTTTTTTCTGGTACTGTTATCCCCCAGTGGTGAACCTTGGTGAAATGTGTTGCTGAGATACTGCAAACTGCTTCACGTGTATGTATGCTGATACTTGCTTTCACCATTGAGCTTAGCAATCTTTGGCTATCCCAAAGTGACAACCTTAAGCACATGAAGGGAGGACAGTGAGGATGAATGTTCCATTTCTTCCCTGCACTCCCCCCCCCCATTTTTTTTGCCTTCTAGCTCATGCAAGGTGACTGAAGCAGGAATCCCTTTGTGTCCATGGAGGCTCATTGTGTGTTCTAAAGGTAAAGGGACCCCTGACCATTAGGTCCAGTTGTGGCCGACTCTGGGGTTGCGGTGCTCATCTTGCTTTATTGGCCGAGGTAGCCAGCGTACAGCTTCCGGGTCATGTGGCCAGCATGACTAAGCCGCTTCTGGCATACCAGAGCAGCGTACGGAAATGCCGTTTACCTTCCCGCCGGAGCGGTACCTATTTATCTACTTGCACTTTGACATGCTTTCAAACTGCTAGGTTGGCAGGAGCAGGGACCAAACAACGAGAGCTCACCCCATTGTGGGGATTCGAACCGCTGACCTTCTGATCAGCAAGCCCTAGGCTCTGTGATTTAACCCGCGTCCCTTGTGTGTTCTAGAACCCTGCAAAACCAGGCTTCATAAAGGTGCAGGGAGGTTCTATGAATATGAAAGGATCCCTGCTGCTCTCACCTTCCACAACATTTAACGTGAGTAAAATGACAGCAGTAGGATGCAGCCATCCCCACGCTATGCCTGGTATTTACAGGTGCCACTGTGGAACATTTGAAGGGGGCCTGTGTGTGTGTGCATGCTAGGAACATAGGGAGCTGCCTTATGTAGAGCCAATCAGACTTGCATTTTCTTTGTAATGACCCAGCTGGCTCTGTATTTACACTGACTGGCAGCAGCTCTCCAGGGATCCAGACAGGATGCATTTCTGGAGATGCCAGAGATTTGACCTTTTTTTTTTGCAGGCAAAGCACATCTTCTCACGCTGGGTTACAGCCCTTCCAATGAGCTCTATGCCTTTCCATGCTGTCTTCATCTTAGTCTGGTTGAATTTGGGATTGCCAATCGATAAAAGAGAGCATTGTCCAGTGGAAGTTAATAACTTTAAAAATTGCACTTACTGAATGGAAGACAAAAATGTTATTGACGAAGCAACTGAAGCTTTTGTTTTAACTGTGGCAGTTTTTAATTCATCTGCCCCTGTTACTTTCCCCCTGGGGAAAACTGCTCTTTAGCGCAAACAGCAGCTTGGGTTTTCTGCAGATTGCCATTTGATTTGGTTTATCACTAAAGAGCAGGTTTTCCCTTGGAAAGGAGTGGGGAAAGGGGGAAACCGCTTGGACCTGTGCTTTCTGGGCACGGCACAATCGGAAGTGTGGACGAGCCCTCATGCCCTTGGCTTATTGGTCCAGCTTAATTTTCAGCTTCTAATTGCTTTCAAATTGGCGTGACTGAAAGTGTGATGCCTATCCATGCAGATCTGCTGATAGATTGAGGTGGTGCATCAAGTCCTCTGCTATGAGAAAGAAGGCCTGTTCAATATGCCAGCTCCAGTGGATGGGTCTGGGATGAAGGCCAGAGGGAGGAGAGGTGTGGAGGTGTGTTTGATCTCCCAAGCCTGAGTTTCCCCATGCCTGTTTTAAAGGGATTATGGCTGCTAGTCATGCTGGCTATATACTACCTTCAATATTCAGAACCCCATGCCTCTGAACACAAGTCACTGGAGAGGTCTATTGCGCTTGTGTCCTGCTTGTCAGCTTCTGATTGGCTACTGGAGAAAACAGAATGGTGAACCAGATGGGCCTTTGGCCTGTTCTTAATACACACACAAGCTTTTGGACAGGAATGTACTTGGCAGCCATATATAATTTTCTCCCCTCCATTTTCATTAATGACCACTTGCTGTTTAATTCAGTGGAGGGTGGGGGGAGTCCCAAGAAACCCCAATGTACTCCTCTGGTATTTTTGGAAATGTCAGTACCACCCAAGGTAACTTTCCACTAATTTTCAAGTTGTAGGAACACCCATTACTCTGTAATGGCAATTTCCATCGGGCAAAATGTATAGGTTCTTTTCCATTCTTTAATTGGTCAAAAATGTTAGTACAGATATTTGCTAAACACCTTATAAATAGCAAGGGAGTTTTGTGCTGGCTTTCGTAATATTAACGCCGTACATTAAAACTTGTCACGATTTGGCTTAAGCCTCATTTTTTCCAAGACACACCATTTCCTATAGCTTGGAACATTTCCCCTTTTTTTATTCATAGGAATAAGTTAGGCTGTGGATTCCCTTTGAATAATAATCATAAAAAAGCCCTGGCCTTGGTCAAGTGTAACTGGCTTGCTGATCATTTCATGTCTCTTTGGGGGGGTGAGCAGAGTTTCTGAACGCTTAAATTGTTTCCTTGATTTGCTTACCAGGGAGACAGAATGGTTTACCTACCGGTACTTGCATGATGTATTGAAATGCATGATGCAGTTCAGAGCAGTGGTAGAAATTGCATCCTTGTTATGTGCCCCCCCCCCTCGCTAAAGGTTGCTCTGCAGTGTTTAGAGTTTATACGCCAATATGCTCTATCAGAGCTCTCTATGCCCTTGAGGCTGGTTTATTCTCCCCCCCCCCCAAAAAAAAATATTCTTGTGCACATGTCATTATAATACAACCACCATTTCTCCTCCAAACCATTGGGATCTAAATCGGATATATTATTTATCAACTTGAAGGTAACTTGTATCTGTGTTGAGGGATAGTGTTTGATAATAATGCAAAACAGTTGAAAGAGGGGACTAGTTCTCCTTTTTCTTCTTTTTAGGAGGTGCTTGCTTAAGGCCTTTTGTGAAATAGCAAATGTTGTTTTTTAATTTAGGCCACTTACTAATTGGATTTCCTGTATCATAGGAAATTCCAAACCTGGGGCAATGTGTTTTCCTATCATGGCTATGGGTGAAAAGCCAGCATTTAGAGTTTGCAATCAAAAAGGGAAACTAAAAAGATTGGCTGTGATCCAGGTAAGGTTAGCTGTTGTGTTGTGGCCAAATCCTATTGAAATTGATGGGGCTTAAGTGAATCAAGACAATTTATTTATTTTAAGGGGACTTAGTCATGAGTAACTTTATCTGGATTGAGGTTCTTGCAGCTTTGGTAACATGGTATGTGTTGTTTGCTGTTATTTCAAAGATTAAAAATACAAAATACACAGAAGATAAAAAGATTGTTTTTATTTCTTAAAACACACCCAGCCACCCAAAATTGGTTTGCAACACATGAAATGACAATCTTGCAACATTATAACCCCCAAATTGGTTTGCAACACACAAAATGGCAATCTTGCAACATTATAACATTGCAAAGGTGCCTTTTGATTGAGGAAGGAAAGAATTGTCCCTGCAATTAATGATTTTTGATGTGCTAAAAATATTTTGCATTTGTCTCTATTTTCTTCTGCTCTCAGATAGTATGTCAGTATGCCATTCTTTTCTATCATAGAATCATAGAATTGTAGCACTGGAAGGGACCCTAGCGTTAACCTAGTCTAACCTCTGCAATCACAGAAACAAGTTAAATAATGCCTGGCAAATGACCATCCAACCAATGTTAAAAACTTCCAGTGTCCATGAGGCTGCTGTTAGTAATTTTTGTAGTCTCCAACTTTGCATCCACAGTGCATAGTGGTGGCTGGTTTTTCCCCTTTGATGAGGGACAGGCCTGCACCTTTTATGGCCCTGTCTCTTTTTCTGGTTTTTTAGATGTGGAAGCCATTTTGTGTTATGCCACACCCATGGCAACTATTTTGTGCCTTGCCACACCATCCCTGGGGCAGCCATTTTGTGATTGGCATCTGCAACATTTTCTCTATATCCGCAACATTCCCTCTAGCTCAGAAAGGTTGACAACTCCTGCTGTAAAGTGTTAAGGCCAGATATTGAGGTGCTTACATGATCCTGTTACATCAATGGGGTTACTTCTGAGCTTAAAACAAATTTCTGAATCCTTCACAGTCACCGGCCAGAGTTGGAATATCACCACTGTCTTCTCTGTTTTCAGAGTCGAGCTACAGCAATTTATCCTCTTTAAAATACATTAAAAAGTGAATGCTACAACAGTACTTTTTCTGCCTTGTTAGAGGCAAAGATCAGTGTACTTGGCACTAAATGAATCTGAAAAAGGCATTGAAGACCCTCAGCAGGATAAGGGATTTCATGTGGGCAACATGGAAAGGGAATAGTCAACCCCCCCCCCCCCCAAGTACTTCACAGTCCATGAGATTGTTCCTCTGAAGCTCCTACCTCTTTGGTTATTATGATGTCTAGAAAGTAACCACAAAAATGCTCTCAAAATTTTAACAAACCAGCCATTGTGTTAAGTAAGCCTAAGTATGAATAGTTGAAATAATCACATATTAGCCTTTCCCAGCCCACCCATATCTCAGTTTCTCCCCTTCCTTTTTATTTTCAGATTGTAAGACTCTTGAGCTAGGGGCCTGTCATGCCTGTTCTTTGTAAAGGACTACGTTGCCTCCTGTGGGGTTTTTCACCTATTAGAGAGTGGGCAGGACTTACTTCTTATTAGTACAGTGGTACCTCAGGTTACATATGCTTCAGGTTACATACGCTTCAGGTTACGCACTCTGCTAACCCAGAAATAGTGCTTCAGGTTAAGAACTTTGCTTCAGGATAAGAACAGAAATCGGGCTCCGGCGGTGCAGCAGCAGCAGGAGGCCCCATTAGCTAAAGTGGTGCTTCAGGTTAAGAACAGTTTCAGGTTAAGAACGGACTTCCAGAACGAATTAAGTACTTAACCTGAGGTACCACTGTATGCTGCTAGATGAGTATCTTATGTAGTTGGTTTTGTCTGTGATTTATTTTTCCATTACCTAGGTTTAAATTGTTTTAATGTGTTGTACTTTATTTTCACCAAGTCGCTTTGAGACTTCTTATTGTAAAAAAAGTGACAGATGAATGAAATGAAATGCACGTAGATGGTGCTAAATAAATACATATGCCAAAGAACATAATGTTGAAGCTTGTGGGGAGTTTTCTCTCCATTATTCCCCTTCAAGAAACCAACCAACAGTGGCACCCTTGAGCAGTTCTTTATGGTGTTTGCCAGAGACAAATAGACACCAGTTGTGGCACAGAGGGTTGTGGAGGAAGGCTAAATTCAGAGCTGTTGTTGCAATGGCCTGTGAGTGCCCTTTCTGGCCCAGGAATGTCTCTCACTCTGAAATTTTATCTTTATATCTGATGGAGATGTAAGAAAAAGGTGCAGGCGACTTCCTACCCTGTTACAAGCTGAGTGTACAATTACATCACTTCAGATGTTTAAGACTAACTTTATGTATGGAATTCTGCACTGATTTTCTGTCCTCTCATCACAAAATATCTGGTTGCGGACCTGGTTGGTTTTGTCTTTGTTGTGTGGCTCTCCCATGGCAGGTTTTCAAAATGATGGAAGCCTGACAATTTTAATGCTTTAATTTGTTGCTCTTGCTGTTGTTCAGGGTGTAGCCAGTAGCGTGTGGTCTGAAAATGTTCCAAGGGTCCTTTGGTAAACTTTTCTAAGCATTAGCTTAGAGATCGCTAGTCCCTTTGCTTGCTCCCTCTCTTTTAATTTGGTCAGTTTATTTATGCGATTATAATATTTGCCTCCCTGTTTGTCTTGGCACTTGAGTTTTTAGGCTTAATGAACAAATGCGTCCAAGATTCAATTCTTTAGTCAGATTAACATTTGTACTCCCCCTGATTTTCTGTGCAAACAGTGTCTCCTTTGCTAGCAGCCAAAACAAAGCTTCCTACATCACTACAGTGGTTTGTAAACAGTTCTAGTTCTTGCTAAAATGAGTAATTTCTTCACAGGATACAAAGGCACCAGTTCTACAGATTTTAGGCAGAGCTGCTGCACTAGATTACCGGAGGCTATTATTAAAAAAAACCAGACTGCAAGTCAGAATGTGTGCAGAGATCATTTTGCGTTCATGGAAATATGGGGTCCCAAGCAGTGCTTAAAAAAGAAAAGATAAAAAGGAGAGAATGGGAAACAGAAAGAAGAAATCAAATTTTTCATTTGGCTCAATTTTCAAAACACAGCTCCTTGGACTAGGCAGGCAGTGTGTCCATCAAGTAGTTTATAGATCTGAACAAGTGCCCATTCAGTGACTGTGGGACTAATACTGTTCTCATGCAAATATAGGTTGGGCTTTCAGGACCTTTCTTGCATCATTCTGGATATTGGATTGTGGCATCTATGCAGATGTGGGCTTTTTTGTTTGGCTAGGTTTTGAGGCATTGAGCACCAAATTCCAGGGGGTTCAAGGCAAGGATTAAGGGATTCCCTGATTCGTGTGGCACCAAAGCACTGTTTGCTGCAAATTCCTTGTAAACAATGCAGTGTAATCCTATGCATGTTTCTTTTGAAGTAAGTCCCTCTGCTTATAATGGGTGTAAGTAGCATAGTTAAAACCTTTATGATAGGCATGATCATAAATGACAATCTGAAAGAGCTCTTATCCTCTGTGGTGATCATAGAATCATAGAATCTTAGAGTTGGAAGGGACAAGACAACCTGTTTGCACTTGCTACAAGTGTGCTGTTGCTTGTTCTCTGGCAGAATGACAAACATGGCACTGGTGTTACAGGTCATTGCAGCAGCTCCCTCACCCTCCATGTCTCTGGTCCTGTCCACACCAAGACACACAACTCTGTGCCTCCCCCTTAAACTCCCCTGCTAAATGCCCTCACAAATATCCATGTTTGCGAGCTCCCAGGATCTGCACTGAGCTAAGTCTGACTTCTGCTGGTTGCTAACTCCTCCCTCAGCCTGGCTTCCTCTCAGCTGTAACTCCTCCCTCTCAGATACTGTGTTCCTACAGAGCAATCAGCCACACACACCCTCAGGCTCCAAAAGACACAAGCTCACTCTCTTCAGTCTCCTCCAGCAATCGTTCTCCCTGTTTGTGATGTCTGGTTGCGAGCTCTGAAATGCTCTTTTAAAAATTGTGTACCAACCACATATCTTAAAACGATCATCAGCGGGAAGGGAAGTAAAAAGGAAAATAACTCTTAAGGAGGGATGGAAAGGAAGGATTTCAAAGTCCATTAGAGTCAGCAGTGTTTTCCCAATGTTTCATTCACTTGTAGCCAAGCTAGAAATGATGAAGGATGAATTTACATCCTTTGGTTTTCTGCCATGATTCTGTAATGATGTAGTTTCACAGCTGAATGGCAAAATTTAGCTATAAGTACTGGGCTAATTGGAAAATGCAAACTGTACCTTGAGATGGAATGTCTAATGACTCTGTGAGCATATTTTGTGGGGTGGCAGCATTTCTCAGAGTTGTGTACCATGTTAGTGCAAGGAATAATGGCTGATATAGTGCGTATATGTTTTTAAAAAAATGTTGAGAGTGAACATTTGGTATAAAATGGCATTCTTAAGAGCGCTTAGCACTAAAATATTTGTTTCATTTACTTTAGCTATTGGCTTACTTGCTAGCACTATTTCACTATAATAGAAAAATGGTAGTGCTTGGAAATTAACTCCCCCCTCCCTAAACTGACTTTTAAAGGGTCGGTGTATCACAGCCACCACTGAACAGGAAGCAATAACCTGGCTGAACCTGTTAAGAGGAAGGATTTAAGGTTGTAAAGGTGGCGCTTGGTGGGGCTTTGCTGAATGAGCCTCACCTCAACTGACTCATTATAGAAGGATCTTTGCCACAGGGAAAGATACTGCTAGATAGAACAGCAGTATATGGAGTTCAGAAGCTCGGATGAAAGTTCTAAAGATGACTGCCCATCTATATATTTGGAACTTTCTTGCATCATTCTGGATCATCATTCAGCCAGTGTGATGTAGTGGTTAAGAGCGGTAGTCTCGTAATCTGGGGAACCGGGTTTGAGTCTCCGCTCCTCCACATGCAGCTGCTGGGTGACTTTGGGCCAGTCACATTTCTTTGAAGTCTCTCAGCCCCACTCACCTCACAGAGTGTTTGTTGTGGGGGAGGAAGGGAAAGGAGAATGTTAGCCGCTTTGAGACTCCTTAAAGCGAGTGAAAGGCGGGATATCAAATCCAAACTGCAGAATATACTAAACAGGCTTATATGGTCTTCCGCAGTGTTGGTGGGGAAATCTCAGTTCTACTTTTTAAAATAAAGATCACAGCTGATGACTGAAGGTACTATGTACACAAGCGTAGCAACTATATTTGATTTTAAGGAGGCCTGGAAAAAATGGAAATTCATTTGCAGTTGTGACCTGAAAGCATGAAAAGAAAAATGGCATGACGATAAATCAAAGCTGCCAAATCAAGAAACATCTTTTAATCAAGTCATGTCCAAGTTCCTATTAATGTGCCCCCCCATCTATTTGATAGTACAAAACTGTAGCTGGCATATTCACTTTCTCCGCTTTTGGCCTTACCCTCATGTAATGCTAAGCCACAAAGCTTCGTTTATTAAGCCATACTGTGCATGAGCTGCATGCTGATAGGCAGCCTGAGCTCTGTCTGCTTTGTTGTTCCTTTTGCCGCAAGTAGGTAAACAAACCACAGAGGGGGCTAGCCTAATATTATGACCAGACCCAGTATGATGGTGTGTTACACCCTGACAAACCACGGTCAGTAGCCAGCCTGACTACTGGTCTTTGCTAGGGTGAAAACAGACCTGTGATCCTGGTTTCAGACATAACCCTAAGCTTTATCACTTCATGGTTTATTGCCCACCTGCATGAAGGAAGGAATGAAGAGGGAAGGCTCCAGTGGTGTGCACCAGCATGTTGGAGGTGCACACTACAGTCATACCTCATGTTACGTCTGCTTCATGTTACGTTCTTTCAGGTTACATCCCGCGGCGACCCGGAAGTACAGTGGTATCTCGGGTTACAGACGCTTCAGGTTACAGACTCCGCTAACCCAGAAGTAGTACTTCGGGTTAAGAACTTTACCTCAGGATGAGAACAGAAATCGCGTGCTGGCGGTGCAGCGGCAGCAGGAGGCCCCATTAGCTAAAGTGGTACCTCAGGTTAAGAACAGTTTCAGGTTAAGAACGGACCTCTGGAACGAATTAAGTTCTTAACCAGAGGTACCACTCTACCGGAAAGGGTTACTTTCGGGTTTCGCCGCTCACGCATGCGCAGAAACGCAAAATGACACAATGTGCATGCGCAGAAGCACTGAATTACAACCCACGCGTGTGCAGAGGCGCCACTGCGGGTTGCGTTCTTTTCATGTTGCGAACGGGCCTCCGGAATGGATCCCATTTGCAACCAGAGGTACCACTGTACGTCCATAAACCAAGCTTTGTGACTTACAGGCAGATGCAGGCCCCACCCTTTCCCTTGCAATGAAGCTTACTCTCATGTCAGAAATGTTAATTGGGTTTTCAGCCTTGGAGAGCCACGTTTTAAAGCATCTGACAATATTTATGGCTTAAGTTTTGACAGATTCACAGTCTTATCTGCCAGTGTGGAATATATGAATGTTTAGAATTGCCTTCTCCCGAGCCAGGCCATTGATCCATCTAGCCTGGCGTTCCCCACTCTGAATGGCAGCCTCTCTCGGGCAGAAGGCTCTTCCAGCCTTGCTAGCCAATATCTTTAAAACTGGAGATGTGATGGATTAAACCTGAGGCCTCTTGTGTGTGCTGTGTCATTGAGCCATGACCCACCTTGAAGTTGTTTCCAGGGATGGTGGCCGACAGACCCTGCTTCCAATATTTGAAGCTCTTGTCAGGGATTGGCAGGAGGGAGAGGAAGGAATGGTCACTTGAAAGTAAACACAACAACAACAACAACAACAACCCCAAAATAACCCGAGTTTCATCATAAATGTGCTGCTGTTATCTTAGTGCCATCCGGGCAAGGCTTGGTTGGGGATAAACCCACTACCTCAATCAGCAGAATGAGCAGGGGAAGTATAATCATCACAATAATTTTATTATTAATTGCAAACTAAGCAGGACTGGGTCACCCCATTTTGCTGTAAGACACATTATCTTCTAAAGTAGGTGCACTCATAAAACCATTGTCTAACTAAAGGACTAAAGTGCTAATACCCAAATGAGCTACAATAATTACAGGGGGGGGGGAGTAAGACTTTCTAGGGTCACAGCCACACTATACATTTAAAGCACATTTAAAAAGCATGGCTTTTTAAAGAATCCCAGGAGCTGTCATTCACCCCTGTTCCACACAAGCTGATGCCATAATATATTTGCTGGTTTTTAAAGTGTCTCAATAGCAAACTAGCATGGCTACTCTTCTGCATATAGGAAACTTGTTTGAACTGAGTGATTATTTACTTAAAAACAGGACTGTTTGGTCTTGCTGATTTTAAAACATAGTTTTAAACCAGTCCACCACATTGAATACATTTGCACCTTCTCTGTTTCATCATTTTGAAGGACATCTATTGGCTACTAACACCAAGATCAGCAAGGATGGGTATCAACAGAAGTATTTCATTGACTAGGAACTGGATCACTTGCAAAGCAATGTACCAGCAAACACTGCCTCTTCAGTGTCCTCCTTTCACAAAGAGTAATGAAAATACTGGGTCCATCCAGTGTCTGGCTAACTTTGTGCATCAAGTCTTGCCAAAAAGCTTAAATAGGAGAAAGCCAATGGAGCAGGGCTTCGCTATGCCACAAGCATACAGAAGAAAGCTTCCCTTTCTTGATAGATTACTACCAATTCACAGCCAGGTACATAAAAAAGGGGCTGCCATATACAGTCCAAGGATTTTGGAACGGTACGCATGCATCATAAACATTTTGCAAATGTGGTTTATGTATTGTATAGCTTGAGTCTGTTTTCTGACAAGTTTAACAGCCCTGTTCTCCTGACTGTGTTCTCTGGGAAGACCCATTGATTGTACTGCAACTTCGGCTACAATTCTACCCACAAATTTACCTGGAAGTAATTTTCAGTGAACTCATTAAGACACACTTCTGAGTAGCGAAGTATAGTGGTTAGAGTTTCTGGCTAGGACCTTGGAGACAAGCTGGACTATAAATGCAACAAACAAATAAGGAAAATAAATACAGTGATACCTCAAGTTACATACGTTTCAGATTACAGACTCCGCTAACCCAGAAATAGTGCTTCAGGTTAAGAACTTTGCTTCAGGATGAGAACAGAAATCGTGCTCCGGCGGCGCAGTGGCAGCAGGAGGCCCCATTAGCTAAAGTGGTGCTTCAGGTTAAGAACAGTTTCAGGCTAAGAACGGACCTTTGGAACGAATTAAGTACTTAACCCGAGGTACCACTGTAAAACAGGCATGCATAGGGTTGTACTGTCAGGGTGGAGCCGCAAGTGCAACATGTAATTGCATATATACAGCAGAAGCTCAGTGATGGTTACTTGTTGTGGTCTTATGACTATCACTTGCTGCAATTGAAATCAGTTTTGGAGAGGAAGCCTTGGAGAACATTACACAAATTGCTGAAACAATGTTGTTTCTACCTCATGACAGCAACTGTGTGTATTTTTAAATTTCCCTGTAGCAGCACTATTGCTAAGAAGTCTTTTCTCCCAAATCCTTCCTTTCTAGAAGAGAGTGTGTAAGGGGGCTTTGGTGTCAAAAATACTATTTTGAGAGTTCATAAGGGTGTAGTTGCGGCTTATGTGGTGGTTGCGCTCCTGATATGGGTGTTGCTGCAGCTTACCTGCATGAGCACCTGTGGAGGCAATCTGGAGGCAACCTGTGGAGGCAATTTGGTGTGCCTGCCCTATCCCATCCCACAGCTGTTCAGGTGAGCTACAGTGGATGATGATCCCCAGAGGGTGGCTCTGTAGTCCACTGCCACCACAACTACTACTACAAGAGTCACTACTGCAGGAATGTCCTGCAGTTTTCAAAACTGGTCTTTAGACTGGGATCCACACACGTTGCAGAAAACCAAGTCATTTGAGTAATTCAACGAAATGGTAGAAGGTGGTAGAATGGACTGCATCATATCAGACTACAGGAGTGTGAGTGGTTATGTGTAAATATGAATCTGTCTGTTGACTTTTGCAGGGGCTCTCACAATCCAGGGCATTATATGAAAGCATGCAAAAGCTGCTGAAGCTAAACGGGTCAGGATCTTGGTCAACGTTTAGATGCAAGACCACCCTGGATTTCAACATGTGTTGCTATGGTGGAAAGGTGGGATAATATGTAGGTGTGACCATTTAGTCTAGGAAGCACGGTCCCCCTGCACACGTGCACACACAATCTGTTCATCCATTTGTTACTACAGTGGTACCTCGGGTTAAGTATTTAATTTGTTCTGGAGGTCCATTCTTAACCTGAAACTGTTCTTAACCTGAAGCACCATTTCAGCTAATGGGGCCGCGCCGCCGGACCACGATTTCTGTTCACATCCTGAAGCAAAGTACCCGAGGTACTATTTCTGGGTTAGCGGAGTCTGTAACCTGAAGTGTATGTAACCCGAAGTACCACTGTATTGCGATAGGATTTTGTTAGGTGGTAACTGAATGCGCTTGGTACTGAACTAGTCCCAGACCATACAAATTCAAGGTCAGTGCAGGGGCTGCGTTGTGAATGTGAAAGTCCCCACAACTGCCAAACGCTTTGTATTCCCCTGGCAACTTATTTTTATTTTTATGCAGAACATCAGTCACACATGGTACATGTTGACTATTTAGTGAGCGACTAAATTTTGTTTACAAATTTCCAAGGAAAAGCAGCAGCTGTGTATGAATCATGTTTCCCTGGCACACTCAAGTGCTGAGGAAATGGGTTCAGAATTACTCAGACTTTTCACTTTTGGTACACTCAGATATAATTCTAGTGAATTTTGAAATTGTAGACCAAGGATGGAAGTAGCATCCTGCTATGGGCAGGATTCATCTAAGGACTTTAGCTTGCGCAGTGAGGTTTTCTTCCTCTCACTCCCTGCATCCCCCCAAAATGACTTGGGGTATGTATGTCAGGATAACTCTCAGAGCATGGCATGGCAGAAGGAGAGCGGGGATTTTTCCATCCGGGAAGCTGGAATGCTTGTGCAGATGGAGTGTTCGTAATAGTGCAACATTGAATTCCATCCATAATATTTTTATCTGGCACTGGCTACAGTTTTGCGACCTCCCTGAGCAGAAAACCCTATATCTGTATTGCTTCTGGTTGCATTTTATGTCTCTGGCAGCTGAGATGTTACTGTAATGGTACAGAAGAGATCTCATTATAAGCAGATGCAATATGGTCATTGAGGCGCATGGGCTTACTTTGGGTGTCCTCTTTTTCAAAGCAACTGCTTTATGAAATGTAGGATCATTCTGGATTTTTCAGTGTCAGCATTGCAGTACTATTATTGGTAGTGTTGTTTTCCTTTCTAAAAAATTGCTGGTTTTCTTTTTTGGATGGGGGGGGGGGCGTGTATGAGCTGAAGTAGGGATGCCTGAGAAGTTTGCTTTCTGCAAGTTCCAGTATGGATGGACCTGAACTACACCTCCCAGAGTAACATGAGGATGGGAACATCCTTTGCTGGCCCCTCCTGATTCCTGTGAAGTCAGATTCAGCTCCCTCTGTTGGCTATGCCGTCTTGGAGCTACAGCTGTGTTCAGTTCTCCTTGTGAAGAGTGCTTTTATGTTCCTGTCATCAAATACCAAAGAAAAGCAGGCTCTGAACCATGGCTATTTCTTGTTTCAATAAAGATCACATTTTAGCTATGGTAGATTCAGTTCTTCCTGCCACCCCGCCGTGCTCTGAACCTCTGAATTGAGTGCCTCAACCCATTTTCTAGATCGTTAACTTCTTCTCTTCTAATAGAGAAGCCTCCCTTCCTAAAGGATAGCTTTCTGCGAAATAAAGACAGATAGTCCTTACTTGCAGTAATTTTCTTGTTCACTTCATCCAGGCAGAATTCTGTTTATAATCAATACCTGATTTATTTAAGGCTTGCCATGCAGTATTGACTTTTTGGTAGTTGTATAACTCCTTGCCTATTATGTGTCTGGTGAAGTCTTTCAAATTTCTCTTTGCCTCCTTCATTTTTAACTGTTTAAATTCTAGTTCATTTGCTAACCATGGCCTGATCCTTACTTCTTAAAAGGCTGCATTTCCCCCCCCTCACCCACCTTTGACAAAAGAAAGACACTGAAATATTTTATTTGAGGGAATTATTTTCGGTGTCTGAACGTTTATAAGATGTATTGCCTCCACAGTAAGCCATTCTTCCTATTTTTTAAAAAATGTGCTGGTTCTGATGTATTGCAATGCAATGAATGACTAGCCTTGCAGTTGTTATTGTTATTATTATTATTATTTTAGAATACGACCTGTGCTAGTTTGGAGACCCACACCAGCTTCTGGTTCAAGTGGGTTGACAGGCAGCAACTTCCCCAGCTTCTAATCCTTGACTACCTGGAGCCTGGCTGTTTTTGAGCCAATTAGGTATAGTGGTTAGGGTACAGAATAGCCAGTGCAGTGCTTTCAAGATGCAGTTGCACTCCAGTTCCCATCATCCTCACCAGCATGGCCAGCAGTCATGCTGAATTGGAATTGTAGCCCAACAATCTCCATAGGGTACCATTTTTGCTGCCCCTTAATTGGAGTGTCAGACATGGTCCAAATCTCCACTTAGCCATGAAGTTGAATTACAGTGCAATCCTAGTCATATCTGGCTAGGCTGAATTTTTCTCCCTAATAGTGCACTTCCTTGATGTTTCTTATCTCTCTTCAGTGTTGCCATGTCACCCTCTCAACCAACAAAACATTCAAACACCATAAGCTGAAGAAATTGAAAACAAAAATAAGTACAGGTCACAAATAGCTCAGGTTCTTTTTTTTGTAATGTTTTGTGCTTAGCTTAAAAATAAAATAAAATATGTGAGGCCAGATCAGTGAAATAATCAAACCAAAATAGCAACAGCAGACTCATTTCCATGTCAAATAATTTTTACTATTTCCATTATCCAGTTAATTTAATTAGGAGGTGCTTGTTATCCTTGCAACAAGCAATACTTAATGTAGTCAAATGACACCCTTAAAAAATTTCAACTAATTGTCCACCACAGTTTTCAGTATGAATTACTAGCAGTGATGGTTGAATCCCTTCGCCCGCCTCCAGTTTGACTCATAATTAGCTGGGTTCTTCTGAACTTCATTAAAGAAAGGACTATTGGGAAAAGCTTGTTTTCCCCAGCCCTGAGCTCAGAATGTTCAGTAAGAAAGACCAGAACCTGGGGCACATCTGGGAAGCTCTTTGCCACCAGCCAAACAAACTTCTTTGACTGAAGAGCAGGAGGGCCAGCGGCAGGGAGAATGGACTAGTGAGCACAGAATATTCATTCATTCCTTCATTCCTTCACTCATTCACTGCCTTTCTCCCTGAAATGCACGCAAAGTGGCTTACAGTTAGAAATACAGCTAAAAGCACAGAAAAAAATCATTAAGCATCAATAGAATCAAAACGATATATGTATGTGTGTCCTCTCTCTCTCTCTCTCTCTCTCTCACACACACACACCCCTATTAAAATCATACAATTACAATCAAAACAGCATGGCACCAGTCCTTTCATTAAAAGCAGTCAGTTTCCAAAAGCCTGTTGGAACAAGAAAGCCTTCACCTGCTGGTGGAAGGACAACAAGGAGAAAGCCAGACTAGCTTCTCTAGGGAGGGAGTTTCAAAGTCCAGGAGCAGCCACCGAGAAGGCCCTCTCCCGTATACCACTTTGAATTGTGCCCAGAAACAGACCGGTAGCCATTGGAGCTGTTGCAACAAGGGAGTCATGTGGTCCCCATATCAACAATATTTAGGCCTCCACCTTAAGGCCTGGACACTTCTGACCATGCTCAGAAACATCCATTGCCACTGTGGTGTATGAGAATTGTAGCTTCTGTCCATCCTAGCAGCAATGGATGCTCCTGAACATGCACAGAGAGAAAGAGTGAGTCCAGGCCTTGAGGAGACCTAAATCCCTCTGTTATTGCCAGTGAACAGTTGGGAGGACTAGCTGGCAGTGATCCTGTTATGAGTTGAACCTGAACTCTGATGAAGTTGTGGGCTCAAGTGTCACTTGTGTTCACTTTTCCAAGTGTCTCCACGCCAAATTTATTTAACTAATTAGGGTAAGTAATTAAAGACAAGAACCAAATTTGCTCTCTTTCCTATCCACTGATTCCATTTGTTCCAGCTCATCCATGAACCAATGTCCTTAATCCATGAATGTTGGCCAATCCATGAACCAATTTGGGCTGTAAGAATGTTTAACAAACACACTTTAAGGCCAAGAATGGATTCATTCATGTACTTCTTTGTACTGAAAGAAGAGTAAAGAGGGAAGGCAGGGCCGGTGGGGGCAGGGCGCTGAAGAGGAAAAGGAATATAGACTCCCTTTTAAAAGAGTAGCATTGTTCCTATACTGTTTGTGTGAATGTTTACAGGGTGCCTTTTGTCCTTCACAGAGAATATAGCTATTAGCAGTTGTCAAGTGATGAACAGGGTGAGCAGGACCTTGGGCATATTGATCTGAGCTGCTTGACCACCCACAAAATCTACTTATATTCGTTGGACAAAATTGATTTGAATCCATGCATTCCAGCTTGTGGATTGGACTGAACATTTTTAAATGTCACGCTCAGTGTGACAAGCAGTCTTATCACTCGTCTAAGTCATTGATTTTTATTTTATGTTGAAAAGAACATTTTGTTTTCCTGTTAATTATGTGGCTTTAGATGTCTGCTTTGCTTTTGACCTTCACCTGCTATGTTTAATTTTGATACTTTGTTGCGCTTTAGTTGATTCTTTAAGATTTCTTTTCTCCTTAGATTTGATATCCTCCCCACCCCCCCAAAAAACTCTGAAAATATATGTAAAGCAGTGGACAAACAAATAATAAAAATAAACATGGCGGTGCTTTTGAGATGTGCTACACATTCTGAATGTGTGTTTGTGAGAAGCAATACCTTGCAGCAGTTATTTCTGAGCTGTGTTTCAAAAATTAAAGCCGGGGATGGAAATTGTATGGAGCAGTAAATCTGCCCTTTGCACATTTATCCCCTTTTAAATTGCTTCTTTGCCCAGTGGGACGCCGAAGTGCACGGCTGCCATGTAGAATCTTGGCTTTCAGTGCTGGAGGCATGGAAGATCATTTTGTAATGGAAGACAGCAAAGAGGCACGATACATACTGGCTCACTGTATCTTTTCCATTAGGCATGGTCTACTCTGGGGACAGAAGGGATTTAAAACCAAAACAATGCTTTTTAGCTTGTGCTGTCTGTGCTGGAATTACTTTTTGATTCTTTCCCAACAAAGTAATAGCATGCATATGGGGGTGTACACATGTGCTTCCAAGTCGAGAGATGACAGATGTTGGTATTGGAAACAGATAAACTTGTCCTAATCAAAAGGTTTGAACTAGTCTCCCCAAAAATGCTTCTGATTTCATCTAGGAAGGGGTGTGTGCCATGTCTTGAGACCTTTGTAGCATGGGTACAGAAGCTCCATCGCTCCTGATATTATTGAGCAACATCATCCCTGACCGTTGGTCATGGTCGCTGAGGCAGGTCCCACCCTCCACTTTGCCGGGCTGTAGCTGTTCCAAGGGAAGGGAATTCAGTAATGTTTGCACTAGTAAATGCATCCTCAGTGTCTTGTTTGCCGGCTTTCCATAGGAATGACTTTGGCCACTGTGAGAACAGGATGTGAATTAGATGTCCATTTGTTCTGATGCAGCAGCGGTCTTCTTTTATGTACGAATGCACAGTCCTGGCAAAGGAAACCATGCAAAGCCAGGAGGTTGTGGATCAAGTGAACAGTCTGGGCTGGAGGGAGTGGACAGGAAGGACTCAGCAAGGAACAGTTCTAAAGAGAGGCAGGCCTTTCAGGACCTCGGACAGAGCCCCAGGTACAGACAACTGCTTGGGCACAAGTTCAGTGTTAGCTGAGCCCTTTTATGCTCCTTGGCCCTGACTATCTCTTAGGCCCCACCTCCTTGCAGAAGGGTGCAGAGCCTTAAAGGGACAGCCCTGTGGCCTGGAGACTGGCCATCTGTCACTCCTCCAAGATCTCATGCTTTCAGCAGCACCTGTGGCAAGCCAGCTTGGTGGAGTGCAAGCTGACTTGCCAAAACTGAACTCCTTGCAGTGTGTGATGAGAATGCCAAACCTGTCATAGAGCCAGGCTCTGTGGAGGTCTCTGGCTATTGGGATCAGGCTCAGTATTTCCCTGGCCATTGTTGTGCTGTGATGACAGGCTCCTGTTAAGAGCACAGGGGACACCACCCCATATATATATATATATATATATATATATATATATATATATATGTGTGTGTGTGTGTGTGTGTGTGTGCACACACACACACACACACACACGGATGGCACAGGGCTTCAACAGTACTATAAGTCTCGCCTTCTCACCCATTCCAAGCCCGGTTTTGTCATCTAATGAAGATGGAAGGCACTGTGCTACTTTGATGTTCTATTTAATGCTTGATTGACCCAGTAAATAAGAATTAGGCAAATTTTCCAGAAGCTAATATTCATAAGGCCAATGAGTGATGATCCTATTGGGAAAGGGTTAAGTAGGTTCTGTTGATTCGCTGTCACACTAGTGTAATGAGTGTAGAATCTGCTCTCTGGGGGAGTGGCGAAGGTGGGGAATCTCTATCCAAGAAGAGCACTCATATACAAATAGCTGTACAGTAGCTCTAATAAACTTGAATAAATTCTATTAATATATATGTTAATTAAGCTGCTCTTTAGGTTCTACACTCTGAGTAATGGAGGGGAGGGGAGTTGAATACAGAGCAGACTGGGGTGGGCACCTGTTTTCATATACCCCCAAATCAGTGTGAAGTTAAGGTAATTTGCATATGTTGTTCTGATCCTTTACCAGCCGGGAAAAGCTGCTGAAGAACAGGCCAAATGTTCACTGCCTGCAAAACTACTCAGTTAGCAGGTGCCATTTTGCTTTAAGAAGTGCCACTGAATTGTGACTCAGAACCCTCCCTGATAACAAAGAAATGCTTGTAATTCCAAATCTTTCTTGCAATGAGTTGCAGTTATCACTCAGTCTAGGACCCAGGTGGCCAAATATTACAAGATCTCCACCTGGCAAGGGGAAAGTGATAATAAAAATTTATATCTTTTTATGGTGAAGGCCTTCAACACAGGGGAAAAAAAGGCATTTGCAGATTTCTTGCCTGCAAAAACGGTCACACTAATATCTAAGTACACATTATATCACATTCTCCAATAACGTAACACTGAGGCCCCTGCTTTTGCTTTGTAAAGCAGTAGAGTCCGGACAGATCCGAAGTGGAGAACAGGCATGGGAATGAGGTGTTCAGCCTCACTCAACATGCCATTGCCTGGTTTCCAGGGGGCATTAGCAGACGACTTATATCCTGTAAATTTGTTCTTCTAGGACAGCTTCTGCCAACCTGGTGTCTTCCTTGGGGGAAGCCATGACTGTTAAATGTATGGTGCAGATGTGGCCTTTGTCTAGGATGGGCCAGGGATGCTGCTGCTTTGAGTTGCTGCCGCCGCTACTCTTCATCCTTCTACAGCTAAGCTTCAGTGTTCCACCCTCTTTTACAAGGAGGGAAGCGATCTGGCAGCAAGGTTTCTGTATATGAAAGAAAGAGAGTGAGTGCTATGAGTTTGCTTTTTGTATCCCCAGCAGGTAGCAGTAGTGATGAGAACATGGCTAGTTTCTTTCTTTTCTTTCTTTTTGTAAGAGAGAGCTGCTTTTCCATTCATGGCTTCATTCATTCATTTGAAGAACACTCTCAAGGTTGCCTGAATAAATGCTTGGGTTGTAGTCTGAGGAACAAGGATTTAAGAACATTATGCATCTTTGATTGTGCCTTTATGAGACTTGCAATGAAGGAGCTGTCAATTTCAGTTCTCTTCAGTCTCTAAACTTTTCCAGTCCTAAATTCTGCAGCAATTTGATTTATTTTTATAAAAACCCTGGTGAAAATTCACCAGCAAATTATTGCAATTTCTCCCCAATAAACACATTTTTGTATGCAGTTTTGACCAATGTACACATTTTTTTTGCAAAAAGCTTCCCCTAACAAAATGCACCTTTGTATGTAATTTTCAGTTTTTTTTAAATGTGCGCTTTCCCCTAATACATGCATTTTTGTGAACATCGCTTGGTTGAAGAACTGCACCTCAAAATTTGGTGCTGTGGTTCTCATATTGTTTTGGAAAGTGCAAGTTGTTATAGCTTAATCTTTAAATGCAAACTGAATCCGATTTCTCCCTTCATCCCTAGCTGCCGTTTACCTGGGAAGAGGAGAGCAGTGATACAATCCTCTTCTCCAGAGTCCTCCTGTTTTGGGGGGCAAGTCGTTCCTTGTCTTTGGCCCTCAATGAATTAATATTTTAGGGGTGTCCACAGAAAGAAAGAAATAAACATTTGATCATCTGAAAATGAGATGCAAAAGAATATAGAAATGGAAATGAAGACTATTGTATATGAAGCTGCTGAATACTTCTAAAGGTAGCTTCTGCGTTTGATTAACATGTATATGCTATATGGGTGTGTCACACCTTTGGTTCTTACTGCTTTTTGAAGTCAAGCAGTATTACTTGCTGTGGATCAATTTCCCAGATTTTATCTCTGCTTTGAATTCAACAGGATCAGAAGGTTTGCATCTCTTCTCAAGCCTGTGAAAATAAGAAGTCCTGAAATGTTTAGGAAATATTATGTGGCTGCAGTCCAACTCCCTTGTCCCATCAGTGCAAGGATTTCTGCACAGGAAGTACAAAAACTGTTTCATGAATGCCTCCCACTGGCTGTGTTATGCGACACCATTAGTGTGAACAATTAAACCACAAGGCTGCATGCAGACATCCTTAAAGAATGGGGCTTGCTTTTCTTTCCCCCTGTTAGAAGCTTGACCCTACTTTCCAGCTTATTTTACAAACATACTAGGTAGCAAATAGAATTCTGATTCTATTCTCCACCCTCCTGACTATTAACCTTTTAATTGCCATATGAATGTGCCGTTTCTATTTGTTTTTAAAAACTAAATTTGAAGAAGGAAAACATTTTTTTCTGGGAAGTGACATCACATTGGGAAATGACATACGCTGTGGCATCATGGGGGTCAGCCTATCGGGGTTCTCCAGTGCTGGCTTCTGGTGCGAACATTTGTTCCAGTCCTTGTATATGGCCATCTGATCAGCTCTGTATGCTTGCTGCTGCTGTTCCTCATTCTATGAGATCAAAGGGCATGGAATATACATCACACAACACTCATATGCCTGTGTGGTTATTTTTAATGTGCTACGAGCTACCTTGAGCATTGGTTTTCCCATGGAAGGGTGGGATATAGTCTTAAATAAATAAAAATTAAGAAGTTGTGTTTGTGTGTTTTCTACGCACATAGAGTTCATCAGAGGATGGATCACTCTTAATAGACTGGCTGCACTTTTATGCTTCCCCTGAAGCTACTGGCATTTCCCAAAGGCAGGAGAGTGGGCAATGGGTTGTCATAATGCCCCAGTGGCCCCAGTTACCTCCCCTCTCTTCTTCCCGGTAGCTTTGTACAAGCTCAAAGAGAAAGTGTTTGAAGTTCTTTTGCCAGCAAGCAATGAGCAACAACTTGATTCCAAAGACGCATTTACAAAGGGGAGAGGGAACCTGTAGTGCTCCAGCTATTGTGAGACTAGCAACTCCCATCATTCCTAGCCAGCATGACCAATGGTCAGGGATGATGATAATCTGGAGGCCACCAGGTTTCCCCCTTCTGATTATCTGACTGATGATAATCTATCTTTATATTAGTTGTGCAAAAATACTTTTAGGAATGCTATCTATCATACGATCAGAGCAGATGGGAATTGGTGGCCCAACATCTGGAAGTGCCTCTTTTCGACTGGACAACTAAAAGGTTCCATGATAACTTCTAGAAACTGTCTCAGGCTGACACTGAATGTTTTAAATCTCACACGAAGGGTTCCTGTATCTTTGCCTCTCTCTCTTTGCCTTTTTTGGATACTCTCTAAAACGTATTGCAAATTCCCCTCATTGACGGGGAAAAGGTGATAGTCATGGAAATTTCAGGGGCATAGAAAACCACACTTTGAAAATGTGGCGATTATGATTCCCCGTGGCAGATTAAGTAGTTTTTATAGTTTGGAACATTAATTAATATTTATGGAGCCTTGTGTTGGCAGGATGGGCCCTGATCACTGGCTCCTGCAGCTTCAAATCCATTTCAATTATAACTTTGTTACTGTGTAAATGTCACATATACATTGCCAATGTATACATTAGCAAAGCCGTGCAAAGGATGAAACATACCAGGAGAGAGTTTCTGCTTGCATGGCTTTAGTCAGTGCTGGCATCGGCTTCAGCAGTAAACACTCCTAATTAGGGCTCTGCAGAAGTTTATATGCCTGTGTACAATTATGGGCTCTATGTGGCCAAATGAAGGACATAAACTGCCTAGGAACCTAGGCTTCTCCTGGGCCAGAGACTATTGGTTCCTTAGTATTGTCTATGTTGCCAGGGTTTCAGACTGGGTTCTTTCACCCTGGATATGCTGGGGATTTGAGCTTGGGGCCTTCTGCCTGTAAAGCAGATGTCCTACCGCTGAGCTATGACCCTTCCCCAAAGGAAAAGGGCTTCTCCATCTCCATGATGCTAACTGGGAAGAAAGCTAATCAGTAGGTCATCTTCTCACAGCCAAGATGTTGGCTTCCCAAGTTGCATTGTGGGTGGTGTTGGTGGTGAAGGGAGTGAAGTGGCTTAAGTATTAGGCACCACTCATAATGAATCCCCAGCATGCCCAGGGGTGGGAACATGTCTCCCTGTTTCGAAGGGAGAGGAAAACCACCTGCCTGCCAACTACCTAAAAGCCAGTGCTGAAATCTGGTGGTGATGGTGAGCCATGCAAGATAAGGGATGGCAAAAGAGAGAACTGGCAGGATGGTGGGAAGAAAGTCAGCAAAGCAATGGCTTGGTGCACAGTGCACAGGGTAGTTGTTTAATGCAAGGGTAGGCGACAAAGCTTTCCCTTGGAGGAGCATAAGAAGAGTTCTTCTGGATCAGACCAAAGGGCTATCTAGTCCAGCATCCTGTTGTCACAGCAGCCAACTAGATGCCTGTGGGAAACTGGCAAGCGGTACTTGAACACAAGAGCACTTTCCCCAGTGAGAGCCAGTATGGTATAGTGGCTAAGAGCGGCAGTCTCGTAATCTGGTGAACCAGGTTCGTGTCTCCGCTCCTCCACATGCAGCTGCTGGGTAACCTTGGGCCAGTCACACTTCTCTGAAGTCTCTCAGCCCCACTCACCTCACAGAGTGTTTGTTGTGGGGGAGGAAGGGAAAGGAGAATGTTAGCCGCTTTGAGACTCCATAGGGTAGTGATAAAGTGGAATATCAAATCCAAACTCTTCTTCTTCCCTCCTCACCAGCATAGCTCATTGACCAGGAAAGATGTCTGCGCAGCATTTTTGTCTTTTGGTATGGTGGCTTCTGGGAAAGGAGTAACGGTATTTGTAGGGTTTGTCATTTTGAACTTTGTGCCAAACCATGCCATAAACGATTGTTTCTACAGCACTGTAAACTATGGTTTCAGACTCATATCAAGTAGTAGTGAAGTCTCCTTTATCATGGTTCATATGATGTCTGAACTAAGGGATGTCTTTGTGTGGCCTCTGCAACTAGTCCTGGGTGGTGCCTTTCAACGAGGTACCCTCCAGATGTTGTCAAACTTTTATCAGCCCTAACTAACATGGCCAATAGTTAAGGATGAAGGGAGTAGGGACCCAGCAACCTTTGGAGAGCCCCACATCTGGGCTAGCCTGTCACCACGGCTTCCATGGCTCTATGACCACCTTCTGTGCAATCTACAAATCTAGAGGCTAAAAACAGAAGTCATTGCATTTCCGAGTCTACATTTAGATGCTTAAATACATGCTCTGAGTTTCAAAATTGCTGCTGTTCATCCTTCAACTCCTACTCAAACATACCAAAATATCATGTACTTAGTTTGAAACCTGGGACAGGCCCCTCTTTTAAGAAGGTAGGTGCACCTGACTTTTGTTTTGAAATAAAATTCCTAGTCTTGAACAACAAACAATCTTAGCTGTTCCATCATATATATTTTTTTAAAAAATTAGTGAACTTGTCAATGTACATAAGAGAATATGTTTCTCAAAACTCACCTCACCACATGATCTTTATTTCATAGGATTTTTCTTTCCTCACAGATGCCTAGAAAACAATGACTCTTGTGGTTATTTGATCTCACAATCTTATTTGTGAGAGGATGTCTTCCATAGAATGGATTTCTACTTTGTGATTTTTAAGGGCAGTGCTATGAAATTGTAAGTTTCTGGTACCTTACAACCTAGTTGCATCAGAAATAATTTTATCCTCTTTGGTGCAAGTTCCCCCCACCTTCCTTTCAAATTATACACGCTGTGACTTTAAAGCAGGGGTGGCAGCCGGGGGGCCTCCAGTTGTTGTAGGCCTCCATTCTGCTTATGGCATACTGTACTCTCAATGTTGATTATCATTCATGGAGATAAGCCATTACCTGTGGCATGGAGATTGTGATTATTCTCTAAGGCAAGGGACAACCTTGCAGTGGGCAATATTTTGGATCACATATGGACTCATTGTTCTTTCCTTAAATTGAAGATCAATCCAAACAGAATGGCTGCATTCAGTTTAAAAAATTGTACCGTGGAAAGCCCTGAGCTTGCACACTTCTCCCCACCCTACATCCTCATGGATAAAGGGAGGAAAATTGAATTTATTGTGTAGTTTGAGGAAACCACTGTTTCCCATATTGAGACAAACTGGGAAAATGTGGTTTGCTAGAAACTGTGGTTGATTAACAGACTGACTCTTTGGGATGGTTGTAGGGTTTTTTGAGGATATGGTGGTTTAGCTCCAGATGAAGGGACCAGAAAGAGGCACCGAGGGGTTTCTGCTTGACGTCTTGCTAATCATTCTATGAGATCCTGTAGGACCTCATTTTATTTCTCCATGATTTTCAGCACTTATATGAGAGCACTGGGAGTTGGGGTCATACCAGGGTTTGTCACTGAAGTGTCATCTGCTCTATTTCTCTTTGATATCTGAATCGTGTTAGCTGTGCAGGTGCTAAACCAGTGTCTGAATGTGGTAATGAGCTGGATGAGGGCTAATAAATTGAAGCTGAATTCTGACAAGACGAGGCACTGTAGGTAGATGCTTCTTGGGACCAGACAACTGATATACAACCTGTTCTCTATGGCATTGCGCTCCCCCTGAAGGAGCAGGTTTGTAACTAAGATGTGCTTTGTCCCGCTTTATCACCAGAGGCTCAGACGTCCTTAGTTGCACAGTTCACCATTTTTCCAGCTTTGCCTGGCTTGCCAATTGTGGCCATTCCTGGACGGCGTAGTCTGGCCATGGTGATCCATGTTTCGGTAACCTCCAAGTTGGATTACTGCAATCTGTTATGCATGAGGCTCTTGGACTACCTTTGAAACTTCAACTGATGCAGAATTTTAACTGTTACAGCCAGGTTTTGTTCATGTTATGCCAGTCTTATTACAATGTCACTAGCTTAGTTTTCAAACCCCATTTAAGATGGTGTATTTATTTTGAAGGCCCCAAATACTGTACCAGCCTACCCATGTTTTGAAATTTTCTGCTGAAGCTCTCCTCCAAGAGCCTCCCTTATTGGAAGTGCACTTTTAAGGATATGAATAATTCACCTCCTGGAATCTACTGGATGAAGCACATATATAAGTGTTTTAAATAAATATATAAAAAATGGCTTGTAAAAGTCAGTTTCGCATACCTAATGGAACGGGAAACTGTGGTTTGCTTTTCCAAGTCCTCAATTGAAGTTTAAATTTCCTCCCCTTGTATGTGAAAGGAGAGGGAGAGAACCCCATTGTTTGTTACATCTAAATATAGTCAGTTGTTGTTCTTGATGATGGATCTTTGGTCTGATTCAGCAAAGCACATTTTACTAAAATGGTAACAAAAATGCAGAATTGCACTTAGTTTCTTTTCTTTGTTTTGCTGAAGAGAGCAGCTAATGACGGCATTCAGGTGGCTTTGACTCAAATATTAGTTGAAGACTTGAGCTGTCTGCTTTTCATCTTCAAAGGGCTGCTAGAGAAGAAGCCTAATCTTCTGGAATTTAAAATCCATATAATGGGGGCATTGGGGCAAGGAAGAAATTAATAGATTAACAGAGTCATCCTGTAGAATATAAGGCAGGAGAAGGGAAAGGAAAAATCTGCACAGTATTACATTTTCTGCTCTCTTCCCACTAGTTCCTCATGCAGTCTGATTTATCGAGGGTTTGGGAGAACAGATAAGGAATGGCAAAGGGTTTTCTTCTTTTTTAAAAGAAGTTCACTTTGAACTATGTCTCTCTCATGCATTGTCTGTTTGCAGAACAGAGGGTGTCAATCAAGTGCTCCCAGAACACCCCAGGAAAAAGTTATTTCCTACATGCAAAATGGAAATTGCAGTTTGATGCCCTTCCTGTTCTTCCTATATCTATTTTTTCCCAGCCTTGAGACTTGATAAATGAACATTTTTACATGACTTTAGCCCTGTGTTCATTCTCTCTCTCTCTCTCTCTCTCTCTCTCTCTCTCTCTCCCTCCCTTCCTCCCTTCCTCCAGTTTCTCTGACTTTCTTCTGGGACATTCAGAATTGGTTCCCTTGAGACACTTTCTCTTTGTAGAAGCTCCTGAGATTTAAGTATACAGTGCTGGGAACAAAATTCTGCATCTGTGAACTCATCATACTTTTTTTTTTTTAAATGTATTTTTATTAAATATTTTCTTAGTTTACATCCTACATTTTGAGAGTGGAATACTTCTTCAAAGGACATACTGGGCAAGGGCTAAGCAACAGCCTATTTTAATATATATTAACATAAACATATCTGTGTTGATATAGAATGTATTTCAGTCTCCAGATGAGGAAAGAAGAGGTAAAATGTTGAAGGAAACTAGCTCTCTTTGGAAGGTCTACTAGTACTTATTTTTTTTAGTAGGATTTGTCCTTTTATAAATATTCTTGGATGATCATGTTCAGGTATTGTGTTTTTATGATAGTTTTATATTGAGTTTTAATGTCTTTAATATATTTTATGCTGTAAGTCACTTTGGGGCATTCTTTTGTGATGAATAAATATAATTCTTATTCTTATTCTTATTATTGGAAAGTCACCACAAAGTGACACATTCCCTGACGTTCCTCAGCTTTTTCTTGCATTCGGTTAACACCTGATAGTAATTCTTTTTCCTTCAGGGTAGATAATTATGTGAGGAAATGCTATTTAAGTATTTAATATGAGGGAACGCTGTAAAATTAGGCCTGTTTTCAAAACATAGGCACTGTCTTTATGTCTGTAAAGTAATATGCTGTTTTATGGTGCTGTATAAATAAGGACAGCAAGACTTCCATCCTGAGATAATGAGTTTGTGTCCTGAGGTAATGAATTGGGTAACTGTCACTGTGGGAAAAGAGAAATGTTTCGTGTCTTCTCATAATGCATCATAAATTCTCTCCTGAGTGAAAAATTAATTGTCCCTGTCTGATTGAATATAGGTACTATAGCTGAAATATGCCATTATCTCCCTATAGGAGCACATATTTGGAAACAAACAAAGCTCAATGTTTTTCCTTTCTTCTGCCCATGAATTGAATTGTGGAGATTAAACAACACATTTGGGGGAATGGAAGGTTATGGAAATCAGCTAGAAACCTGTTTTGTTTGTTCTTTAGAATCACTAACTTTTCTTAAAAATCAAATGGGTAAGAGATAGGGGAAGATTATTCTTTGTAATAACCATGATAGAGGCTTAGTTCTGACAAATTGCAGATGAGGAGTTAAACCTGTGTCTGGGTGGCACATGTGGTGATCCTATAGTTGCTGTTTGCTTGGAACTGCAAAATCTCTAATTAAGAATAAATGTCTTTTTACTGCGAAAATTTCACTGCTCAGTAGGGGCCTCCATGGATCAGGAAAGCTGCAGCCTGGCCATGGCCATGGTCAATGGTCATACTTCCATTTTAGTTGGTAAAGTGTTTTTGTGAGACATGGCTTAGATTAGAGAACCAGGAGCCCTATCCAAGTTTTGATCAGGGATTATGTTTTTGCTAAGTGTCAGTCATTCTACAGAAGAATAATGATAATTTGGCTAACAGACTGTTGTTACACAAAGTGTACTAAGTTGTGTACTAAGGAACTGACTACTCTTGACAGGAGGACTTCCTAAAATCTCAGCAGTCTTTCCCAGCACCTCTTTGAGACCTCAAAGTAAGTTTAATAAGAAAAAAACATACCACATTTCCCATCTATAAGATGCCCCCGTGTATGAGTTTTGGGGGAACTCAGATTTAAGAAAATGGGGGGAGATAGCCCAGAGTATAAGATGCCCCCTAATCTTTGACATTATTTTTTAGGGACAAAACCTAGTCTTATACACTGAAAAATATGGTGGATGGCTTGAGCAAGCAATGAATGATCTGGTGGTTCTGGTTTTGTGAAGAAGCAAAAGTGTTCTTTGACTTGGCAGAAGCAACCATCAAGCTAGAAGAAAATCTCTTTATTTAACTCTTGGGGTGGTGGTGAATGGAGCTGCCCATTGTCCCTGCTCCCAATCTCAACTTAATGTAGCTGGTTGACGGAACAAACCCGAAGAGTGCTTGCTAATGGTTCCTCACCATCCTCAGTGCTGTGTTGCTGTTCAGTATCTTTATACATGATTTGGATGAAGGAATTTGAGGGGATACCCATCCAAATTGCAGATGACATCAAACTCGGAGTGGTAGTTAATGTCTCAGAAGACAAAATCTGAATTCAGATTGGAGAACTGGGCCAAAACTAACAAAATGAATTTCAGTAACGGCAAATGTCAGATTCTACACTTAGGCACCAGTATAAGATGGGAGGACACTTAGCTTACTAGTAGTACATGTGAAAAGGATCTAGGGGTCTTATGGACCACAAGCTTAACATGAGTCAACAGTGTGATGCAACAGCAAAAAAAAAAGCTAATGCTATTCTAGACTGAATCAATAGAAGTATACAGTGGTACCTCGAGTTACAAACCCCTCAGGTTACAAACTCCGCTAACCTGGAAGAGTTGCTTCGAGTTGAGAACTTTGCTCCAGGATGAGAACAAAAATTGTGTGCTGGCGGCGCAGCAGCAGCAATTGGCCCCATTAGCGAAAGCACGCCTCTAGTTATGAACAGTTTCAGGTTAAGAATGGACCTCCGGAACAAATTAAGTTCGTAACTAGAGGTACCACTGAAGTGTTCAGATCAAGGGAAGTAATAGTTCCACTCTTCTGCCTTGGTCAGACCACACCTGGAATACTGTGTCCAGTTCTGGGCACCACGGTTTAAGAAGGATATTGACAAGCTGGAACATGTGCAGAGGTGGGCAGCCAAGGGTCTGGAAACCAAGCCTTTGGAATTGAGGGAGTTGGAATTGAGGAACTGATGGAGTTGGGTATGTTTAACCTGGATAAGAGGAGACTGAGAGGAGATATGATAGGGCTATCACATGGAAGATGGAGCAAGCTTGTTTTCTCCTGCTCCGGAGGGTAGGACTCGAACCAATAGATTCAAGTTTCAAGAAATGAGATTTCGACTAAGCATCAGGAAGAAATTTCTGACAATAAGAGTTGTTCGACAGTGGAATGGACTCCCTCAGAAGATGGTGGACTGTCCTTCACTGGAGGTTTTTAAACAGTGGCTGGGTGGCCATCTGTTATGGATACTTTGGTTGAGATTCCTGCATTGCAGGGGCTTGGGCTAGCTGACCCTTAGGGTCCCTTCCAACTCTACAATTCTATCATTCTGTAACTCTTACGTTTCTATAACTCTTATGTGGTCACAACTTTGTCCCTACAATCAGGAACCCTCATTGTTCTGCTGGCATTAAAAGAGATGAGCGTTTTACAATGCATGTAACAGCACATGCAAACTCCTTCCTTCCCTCCACATGTCCAGTGTAATGCGTGAAAGGTGTTTATGTATTTGCACATTTGCAAAACATGGTCAATGACTTTATATATATGTGCCCTTGGGTAACTGGCTAAAGTTGCTTGGTGAAAACCAGCTGGGATTTGGTTATTTTGAGGCTTTTCTTCATTACAAAGCTTGCAGCATTTGAAACCAGTTGGAGGATGTTTTCAAGTAAAGTATTTTTGGGGGTGGCTGATATGGAATGCAAGAGAGGCATAAGCCCATGATGAGTAACCAAGTTCTGTTCCAAGCTTTCAGCGATTACCATCTGATTCCAAGCTAGTGTATCTTAAGGCCTGACATACGTCAATTGCTGTTGCTGTGGAATTAATGAAATTACTAGACCTGAAAGCATTAATCAACAGATTAATTTATTAATTGACTGTGGCTTAAAATCCAGCTGAAAACATCCCTTAATTAGTTGCAAGGGTGTTTGGCTTCTTCCATGTGCATCAGAGGAAACTGCTATCTATCAAATGTTATCAGCTATTTGAACCACTGTAAAAACTGTATATTGTAAAAACAGTGTGCTATAATACGTTTAATACAATTCAAACACTTTGGACTGGATTCAGTTACTTGGTTGCATTAGTAAAGCCAGCAGGACTCCCACTTGTACTGATGGAACAATCTCCTTAGTTTTATGTTGAAGTCCCCCCTCTGTGTGCCTGATCATCAGGGTGAGCTTCCTAGTCCCCCCCCCCCCAAAGGACCTACAATCATATTTTGTGGAAATTTCCATTTGTCATGCATGGGTTGAAGGTTGCTCTGTTTTTGTTCACAAAGCAATTTCTAAAGGAGTTGTGTTGCAAATTTTCCAGTGCACAGCCAATTTCCACAGTGAAGCTTATCATTAATCCTTACACTGTTAATGATGAAACCATTTGATTCATTTGCTATCTGTTCTTTGGACTTCCTCTCCCTAAAGAAAAAGAAAATGCATTTTTAGTAGCCATATTGTCAGTAAATTTCCTCTACTCAAGTGCAGGCTGCCTTTTCTGAAGGACCATAGGATCAAAGGTGTACTTCGACTTGGTTTGGAGTTCTTGCCAAAAGTAGTTTCAGTGCTGAAGTTTAATTAGTAACTTTTTGGTGCTTGAGTTTGTGCATGACCCCCCAATGGAATTTTCACATTGCCATTCCTGAGCAGACAAATTCAGGATGGATATGGTCTTTTTGATGTGTTGTGCAGGGTCCAAAAATAGACATAAAACTTATTCTCCAACAAGATTCCAACTTATTCTCCAACACTGGACTGGTGGGCTCCTTCTTCTGCCAAGCATAATTATGGACCATAATTATGGTCCACATCTTTTCTACTGCTACAATCCAGGAACTGAAGTGAGGTATCTCCAAAGCTAGTATCTGCAAATCAGCTCAGTGGCCTTCCCCTCTGATGTCTGTGAAACACTATGCAGTGGATCCACATGCTATAAGAGAAGATGGTGTGAGCATCACTTTGTCTGTTGATTCAAGTTTCTATTCCCCCACCAGGTTTACCCTATGGGATTGCAGTCATGCTATCTACTTGCCTTCCTGTAGAGCAGGGGCAGAGAACACCTGTGGTCCTCCACCGGTATTCCTGGACTTCAGCCCCCATCATCCCTGTCCATTGGCTATGCTGGCTGAGGCTGATGGCAGCTGGGCTCCCAACCATATCTGGAGTGCCACAGGTCCTCCATGCCTTCTGCAGAGGCTTCCTGCATTTGCTTCATTTATTTAAGATGACAAGAGGGAACAGAGTGAGTGAAGTGCTGTCCCTGCATTTGGGCTCCTCCACACTTCCACTTGTCCCATGCCTAGAAAGCACGGGTCCGAGCGCATTTTTGCTTCTCCTGCTAGCACCTTCGCAAAGCTAAGCAGGGTCCAATATGGTTTCAAATTGGATGAGGGACCACATGTTGAGATGCCTGTGTTGCAGCGGGTTGGCCTAGATGACCAGCTATTCAGTTCTGTGATTCCATGATTCTAGTGTTGCAAAGAGGCAAGAGGATCTTTTGAAACATTGGAGGGGAACGAGGAGTCTGTAGGAAGCAGTTTGAGGCACTGCATACCAAAGTCATCACTCTGACAGGGGCCCAGCATGCTTAGCAGCCCTGCTGTTTATAGTGAAGGCAGATAGATGCAAGAGTGTGCACACATTCAATTTTCTAGGAGGAGGAGAGGACATTTGTCATTGTTACAGCTGCATGATGAATTTGAGGGAGAGGAGATGCGTTTTAGATTCAGTCAGGAATTAAGTTTCTGATTTGAGGAAAGCCACAATGTTAAATTCTAAGCATCCCTTCTTGCTTTTCCTCCTTTTAAGGGATCTCAGAGCTTTTTAGGAGGGGCTGTTAACTTTAAAGACACCACATAATATTTACAGGCCTCGTAGATATTAGTGGCTAGAGCTACTGTAACTCAGAAAGCCTTGTGTTCAGTAAAACAGAGAAGGAAGGCAAAGCTGAGGGGCATGCCTTGTGAAAGGCAAGTGTGAAGGCTTCCCCTTTGAGACCTTTGAGCTGGTCTCAAGCAAACCATCTGAAAGGTGAAATGATGCAGTTACATCTTGTGATGGTGGAATAAGTATCCCAGGTGCAGAAAGCTTCTGACGTCTTCAGTGAAAACATGACATTGCTTTGTATAGAGAAAGTAATGCATTTACTATTGCAAAATACTATTAAAAGATAAAATTATAGTTGTACTGTATTCTTTCTAATGAGAGAAGCAACATTTGCATCCTTTCCACACAAGCTGTTTATAATTTTGTATGCCCATGTGAAGCTTCCCATTTTAAAAAGTTGTTTCGATCCTAGAATGAGTGTTGATCGCTTAAATAACTTCCAGAGGAATAGCCATGTTGGCAGTCAAAACAACAAAAGAGTCTTGTGACGCCTTAAGGACGGTGATTCTGAATAGTGGTTATATTCTCAGGACAACGCTTTGTGCGTCATGCAGCGCACAAAAGCTTATGCCAGCCTTCCCCACCCCCGTGCCCTCCAGATGTTTTGAACCACATCATTCCCAGCCAGCCAGGGAGTTGGAGCCCAAAACATCTGGATGGGAATAGGTTGGGAAAGGCTGATTTGTGCAATAAAGACATTTGCTAACATTTAAGGTGCTGCAAGACTCTTTCCTATGTACGTATCTGCATGTATTGATGACGTATTCCTGGCGCTAGCAGTACAAGGATCTCCGGTTTTGTATTTTTCCCCCAAATCTCCCAACTGTGAATACAAAGGCAATGAAATCTGCTTGAGCCAGATGGTTGGGGCTGATTTGCAGAAGCATGCATAAAGCTGGAAGAAAATCTCTTTGAGAAATTAAATCCTACTCTGTTTCTTCTTTCCGCTTCCCAAGGGTGTAAGTAGTCTCTGAAAACATGTAATAAGAATAGCTCATGCTTTCTCCTTCTCAGAAGATAAATAGTGTGGTTTTATTTCACTTTGCAAGAACTTTGCAAGAACTCTTAGCAAGACGACAGAACAAGAGTCACAATCAAGATTTTTGATTGCGCTACTCTGTGGAATTACATTCTCAAAACCTTACCCAACATTTCAATCTGTGGTCACATCAGATATCACCTAAGAACAAATTGGATGGTAGCCAGGTAAGTTTTACTCAGAACAGACCTATTGAAATTGATGAACATGACTTTAAATAGTCATGGTTTCCCCCAAAGAATCCTGGGAAATGTAGTGTGTTAAGAGTGTTGAGAGTTGATAGGAGACATGTGCTCCCCTCACAGGGCTGAATTTCTCAGAGTGGTTTAACAACCTATTCCTCTTCACAGGGAATTTTGAGAATGGTAGCTCTGTGAAGGGAATATGGACCTCCAAACAACACTCATCATCCTTAACAAACTACAGCTCCCAGCATCCTTTGGGGGAAGCCATGGCTGTTTAGAGTGTTATGATACTAGTTTAGGTGCATACTGCAGATAGGGCCTTAGTCATGTCCATCAATTTCGGTGGGTCTGTTCTGAGTAAAACTTAGTAAAACTGCTACCAATTTATTGAAACCATGTCATCCACAAAGATAAATGCTTCAAAACTAAATCCTTCCAGCCCCCCTTTTAAATGTCAGTTTTTAGCTGCGTGGGAGTCACTATTCCATTTTGTTGTGAGCTTCTCTTGCAAATTTGGACACCTTTTAAAATGACCCAGCCATATGCAACGTAGAATGTGACTCTCTACCCTCCGACCCCCATTTTTTCAAGCAAGGTGACAGTTCTGTGATCCTATTCAGATCCTGCACAATTGAGTCCCACTCATGTGGTTGTGTCATTTTGAACAGCTTCCCTCCACAGGAGCTACACACTGAAAAGTTGCCTGAGTAACATTTAAATGTCCCACCGATCTTATCAATTACAGAATAGGTTCAAACTGTGCAGTATTCGGAAAGTGCCCAAACTAGCACACTTTGTTCAAATTGAGCAAAATCCATTTCAATAAAAAAGGAAATAAAGAAAAACCAGTGGTGGCTCCATTCATTAGATACCAGTGGCTTTAACATGATAAACGGTGGCTTTGAAATACATCTGCTTTGGATCTTGCATAGACTTGCACATATAAGAATCCTGGTTGATTCTTTCTTACTTTTTCCATATAAGATGTAAATGTTGACATCTTAATACCAATCTTGCTACATTTGTCTATTTTAATAATTCATAAGAGACAGTGTTTCTGTCTCTTGCATTCAACATTGCACAGCTGGCTTGGTAACTAATTGAGGAGTGGTTGTTCCCTTCAGTTATGTCTCTGAGCATTAGCCACTGTAGAACACAAGGCAGCTGAGAACTTCTACTAGGTGATTTATTGAGCTGTGTTTGGTCTCCCAGTTCTTTTTGAATCTGTGCCTGGTTTTCTCCCTCAGAAGCTGCCATTGGGAAGATCACGACCTGTTTAGATTCCTCCTTGGTCCTCTGGTGGGTTGCGTTTGTCTTCTGCAACATAAGGTTATCTATATTACCAAGAAGGCTGGTGGTTTGAGCCCACCCAGGGACAGCTGTGTGCATTGCAGCAAGTGGGACTTGTTGAACCTCTACAAGTCTGTGATTCTATATGTTGTGCACAATTTGTCATGATGCACGATATCAGCTTCTCTTAGACCTTTGGGGCTTTGAACTGTGTGACATAGTTCTTTTTTCTTTTCTTGCTTTTCCTTTTTGTTAAAAAAAAAAACCCCTGGCTGCTGCCAGCCAACACACTTTATAGGCTGAGTATGCTGAGTTTCTGTGGCCTTCAGAATGCTACAGCATCATGATGTGAAATTCCAGAATAATGAAAGCAGCCCTATTCCCATGGTCTCTGTTCCTCTGTGGATTGTTATCTTTGTTCCTGTATGATTCAGACTGCCTTGAAAGCATTTGGAGCCCTGTTTTAATCTCTGTTTGCTGGTCAGAGCTCGCACTTCTGAAAAAAATACAATTTCACCTGATATTTATTCTCTTTGCTACTTAACTTGCTTCACCCACCTGAATAAATTCTTGTTCGTGTTCTGTAGGCCAGCGTGTGTTTTATAAGATTAGCCTCTTCATCTTTTATCTCTTTATTTCCTGTGTCCTTGATCTCCTGTTGCCTCGTTGTTGTGGATTTCCCTTGCATGCTTTAGGACAGAACTGACACATTTTGTCCTAAGAGAGCGGTTGTAAGTTCTGCAGCTGACAAGTGTTTTGGGAAGGACTCTTGTGCTTTCAACAGTTCCTTTCCCTGCTGATTTTTCCATTGTGTCACAGCTAGAGATGCTTAAGGAATTCAGTTTCTGTGAATTCTGATGCAGACTGACCTGATCTGTACCCCCTGAACTAATGCTCAGGTTGGAAACTAATTATTCTTTAGATTTCACACTTACCTGAATTTTGCAACATAGCTCTCAGCTACAAAAAGGTGCAAAAACATGTTTAAAATGCATATTTTAGAGTAAGATGTGTTTAGAAATGTGCATATTCACATAAAATACGCATTTAAATTAGATATTTTGTGTTGAGATATGTAATTAAATATCGCAAGTGCAATGTATAAGATAACATTGTGCTTTCATATTGTCTCAAGACAGTTTTTAGTAATAAGCCTCTAAGGATTCAATCAGTGAATTAAATGTGTGTTTGATACAGTTTAACATGAATTTAATAAACAAAAAAAGCAAAGGTATGTCAAGTAGAACCTTCCCTTCCCCAATTCACAGTTGGAAAATACCTTTGTTAAGACCAACCTAATTGTCACAAAATAGTGACATGCTTTTGAGTCCCCGGGGAGTTCAATCATGCCTAAGGTGGGCTCCAGTATAATCCTTTTCTGTGTAAATTCTCACAGGATTGTTGCGACAAAGAATGAACATGTAATAGCACTTTTTACAGTGCTATAGACACAGTTTTTCTACAGTTATGACACATAAGTTGTTAAGGAATGTAGTTAATGTGTTAATTCCATTAGTGAGGAAAGAGCTGGCTCATTCCTAAAATGCAGCTGGCCCGAATCTGGTGCTACTGGACAGATTAGGCACATAACTCAAATTACAGCATGGGTTGTGGGTCATTGGTTCTTATTAGGAAGGAGTGGATTGTTGTGCAACTGTGGAGTTACCTGAACACCTTGAGAAGAGCTCATCTGAGAAGAAGACTTGGAGAATTGCCATATCTTTGCACTCCGAGAACTCTAAGCTGCTGGAGGACTCTCTGCATGTTGACTTGCCTGCATTGCAGGGGCTTGGAACTCCCTTGGTGTCCTTTCCAACTCTACAGTTCTATGTTTCTATAACTTAGAACTTGCATGTTGACATCCTTCGGCAAGGACGTTGAAGTACAGGGACCCCTCTGGGACCAGAGGGAGAAAACTCTTGGTGTAACCTGCATATACTGTATAAATATAGTGTGTGTGTTTTTTCATCCTACCCAACTTCCAAGGAGGTTAGGGCAACCACATGGCTTTGCTGGCCCTGCAAGTTTCATCTGTGAGACAGGTTGGGCTTTAGCAGGAGCAATTGGCTCAAAGCCACCCAGTGAGATTTACGGCTGAGTGGAGACCTGAACCCAGGCCTTCCTCCCTTTATCATAGTCTAGCACTCTTGCCCCTCCACATCCCATTGGCTCGGGATCATTTCCAGCATCCCATTCCTTTCAACTCATATCATAGTTCACTTCTCAGAAGTGAGACCTGCTTTTTATTCTACTATTGATCATTTGAAGTGGTGTTTTTATGTCTCCCTCTGTTATGCATGTGCAGCCCTGGTGATTTTAATAGAAAGTTTTGCATAAAGCCTGAGAGTAAGACATTTGTTTTTGGTATTTGAGATTCCTGCTTTGTATGAACTCTCTGGCTAGTTCTAATAAAAAGGCATGATTTATATAGCCTATGCACCATGTAAGTGTGCTTGAGGTACAGCAACAGTTGCAGCTCTCTGGATAGTAATCTGCTTTTTTTCCATGGCATTTTATAGGCCCAGTGTCAATCTGAGGGCATATTCTGCATTATTATTACTTTCTGTGGCAGCCCCAAATGCAGAAATGTATCTGGAAGGGCTAGATAGATGTTTAGGCTCTAAGAAAAGCAATGTATCTCTTTTCAGCTGGTTTGGAATGTGTTGCATGTTGCTTGCACTAGAGCTTAACCCACAGATTGAGAACTTCCTGTCTTCCAGCTTTTGTTGGACTACAACTCCCATCATCCCACACCCATTGACCATGCTGGCTCAGGTCGATGGGAGCCAGAGTTAGCCAACTTCTGTTGGCTGCCCCTGGCTTAATCTGTTATCTGAGTTAGAATTCCCCCATTCATATTTTTTTCTGTGCTGTAATTATACCCATATTAGCAAAGTGAATCATACAAAATACTTGCAGTTCTTTTACTTATTTATAAAACTTATATCCTGCTTTCTCCCCAGAAAGAAAATTGAAGCATCTTACAACAATCAAACAGACATGTAAGAAAATCAACTTCACAAAATGTATTAAGCAACCATAAAAATATGGAATCTGTTTAAAAAAGGAAAATCAGCAAAAATGGGGAACTCATAAAACTCAAAAAAAACCTAAAGTGAAGGCACAGAAGAAAACAACCTTCAGTTTTCTTCAGCTGAAGGCCTTCCAAAACAATCAGGTTTTGGCTAAATGCCTGAAGTAAGGAGGACCTCAGGACTGAGGGCCAAGGGTGGCCCTCCAGGTTTCAATATATGACCCTCAGTACCCCATCCAAGCTACATACCTCTCCTTAAGCCAGACCTCTCACCTAAGCCAGACCTCTTCTCTTTGCTTTCCTGATTCTAGCTAGGCAAAAGCACTTAAGGACTTGAACTGTGTGGAGGTCCCGTGCTTGCCTGGATGAAGAATTGTGGCGAGTAGGGGCAGAGACCCCTGGCATCCATGTGGCTGGCATGAACAAAACCTGTCTGCTTTATGCAGATGTTGAGTGTGGAATATTTTGGTAATTGCAGCGCAGTGCAATAATATATTGTATTCCCAGAGGAGGTAAAGATAATTCAAAATCAAAGAAACTGGCCAAGGCCCCAGCATATAGGCTGAAGGCATATAAGGCCCTTGTTGAAGCTAAGCAGGGGTCAGACCCAGGTCAGGAAGAAAGGAAGAAATATGATGCTGGTGAAGTTAAGTCTTTATTTAAGGAAACAAAATACAACTCAGCCTGGTGGTCTCAGCAACCCTTTCCAATAGGTCTTGCCCCTATGGAGCAGTTCCCAGGATTGAAGGCCTTCTACCACCCTTAAAACCTTCAGGATGTTCCCCAAGCAGTCTCAAACTGTGTCTGTCCACCTCTGACCTCTGCTCTGCTTTTCTCATTACTCTGCATGTTCTTGGAGACCAGCGGGAAGGGGAGCTTGTCACAGCAGGAGGGAGAGACTCCCTGGATTCTTCAGCATGATGCTCCATCTCTGCTTCAGCCTCAGAGTCTGAACTGTTCCCTGTCACAGGCTCTGCCTGTTCACTAAACCCTGTTGCTCTTTCAGCTTCGGACACCACCTCCCACCAATCTTCTCCCTCTGACAGCTCCTCTGTGTCCCACAATCAATCCCCTGGCTCTGAGCCTTACACCTCTGGGGTTTTGCTTGGGGATTCCCCAGCTGGTGTCTCTCATTCCTCTTTGACCAGCCAGTCCCTGACAGCAGATCAGAGTCTGGTCAGTGCTTGGATGTATGGCCACTTGGAAACTATGTTTACACTGCCTTGGGGGTCTATGATAGCAGAAAAGTGGGATGTAAATGTAAGAAAAGTAGAATTGGCTGTGTTGTATTTACTTGCTCTTCTCATTACAGTGATTACAGATTTCTCTCATTTCTCAAGTTTGCACAGCAGATTACTGTTATACTAACTTTTGACATCTTGGGCAACTTCAGGAAATGCATACAGCATATGCAGCATAGTCTTTTCTCAGAGTGTCCACTGGTGCCAACTCAGTTTGTTCCATATAAGAAAAATGTGGCACAAACAGTAGCCTTAGTCATGACTATCTATGGCAGTAGCCGGTTAGCAGTTGATCTTGGTATAATTTAGCAGCTGTCTTTAGGAATAACATCTGCTTTAAATGGAGCGAATGAACATGAGCACAAAAAAGGAAACCTCTGTGCTCTGAGTTCCTTTATGGATGAAAGTGGGAGGAGAGGCGGTTCAGTTCAGGATAAGAAACAGAGCCCGTGGCAAGGGAAGGATTTCCCTTGGCTTCCCTGCCAAATGAGCGAAGGGGAAGCAGAGAAGTTTGCTCCTCAGGAGGGAACTGCTGTCAGAGTCCACTTCTTCCTCTCCCAGCAACTCTTAATGCTCCATGCCACATTGCTTCAGAGAGGACCTTGATTTTTCATAGAGGCTTTTTTGTGGGGCAGGTAGTTGTAGGGAAAAGGTTCTTATTTTAGGATCCAAGCTAATCTTCTTCCACAGAACCTGAGAGGCAGCTACCAGGTTTGTTGGGAAACTTGACTGTTTGCTAACAATTCTTCACTTACTTGCTCAGTAGCCTAAGCAGCAGTAATAACACCAATCAAAAGTCTTATTTAAAGGAACGTACACACAGGTGCAGGGACATGGGTGGCACTGTGGGTTAAACCACAGAGCCTAGGACTTGCCGATCAGAAGGTCGGCAGTTTGAATCCCCACTACGGGGTGAGCTCCCATTGCTTGGTCCCTGCTCCAGCCAACCTAGCAGTTCGAAAGCACGTAAAGGTGCAAGTAGATAAATAGGTACCGCTCTGGCGGGAAGGTAAACGGCGTTTCCGTGCACTGCTCTGGTTCGCTAGAAGCGGCTTAGTCATGCTGGCCACATGACCCGGAAGCTGTATGCCGGCTCCCTCGGCCAATAAAGCGAGATGAGCGCCGCAACCCCAGAGTCAGTCACGACTGGACCTAATGGTCAGGGGTCCCTTTACCTTTACCTTACACACAGGTGTATCAGCTCTGGCCTTCGTAGGCCCATACTGAGTTAGCTATATTGTTGTGGGTTGAGGTCCATGTGTGACTGCTGACCTTGGGTGGGTTGTGTTTTAGCACAACCAGAACCACTAAGAAAACATCAGCTGCAATGGATTAAAAACCTGCTGCATGCAGTCTGGGCCATGCAGAATGTCTAACAGTCATCGTGGGTGGAAAACACAGCTGTGCATGCCCTAAGAAGGTCATATGAGTGGACTTGACTACTTCATTTCTCATTTTGCTCTGCCCTTCTGTAAATAAGTTTTATTACCCTCAGTCCTCTTCACTTCTTTGCTTGACACCTGTCATTTTTGGATAACAAAAACACTACCAGAACCACCAACATATTAATAGAATAGGGAAAGCAGTTTCTAGCAATATGATTACGTAATGCATTTTCAAGTCCCCCGTCTTTCAACTTTTCTGTTCAAGTTGCTCCAAGGGTCTCTAGGTGTGAGATAAGATAAGCAAGGTAACAGGGGAAGGCTTCAGTAATGAGTGTTTTGTTTACAAGGCCGTATAGCATGTGCGTGGAGTGGAGAAATAGGCTCAGTTATGGATTTAACTTTGGCAAATCAGATGTAAATCAGATGCAGGTCTCATACTGGGTAGTATGCAGCAATGTTTTGCTCGAGAGTAGACCCATTGAAGTTAATGAACATGGAGGGCACCATGTTTGCTAGCACTGTTGTACTAGATCACTTTGTGTAGAAGGTAGTCTTAAGAGGGGCGAGCCGGTGAACCTTTTACTACTTGTGATGCAGTGCCTAGTATATATTGGACACTTTGATTTTTTAAAATAAATGTTGATGAAGTACGGTGGACCTGGTCTGAGCACATTTCCTTTGCCCTGAAAAGAAATGCTCACTTTGGCATGAAGTGAGCATATGTTCAGCCAAACCACTTCTTCACTTTAAATAAATGTTTGTCTTTACCTTAAACTGCAGTGATTGATTACAGAAAAAGAAAAGGGACAAAACTCTACACTGCTTTTTTTGTTGTTGTCATTTTATTTTGATTAGTAGAATACATTGTTTTAAAAATGGATGGATAGATATTCTTAACATACGTACCCATTTAGCAGCAGATGAAAAATGGCCGGTCCTCACTAAATTTGCCTGACAGCTGGTGACTGACTTGAATCTAATATGTAAGCTTCATAAGCTTTGCCATAATGTTTTGAAACGGTCATAAACCTTAAGAGTATCCTAGTCACACATTTAACCTGCCACATTTAACCTTCCTCTGCATAAGAAATTTATGACAGGTTCCAAATACAATCCTCAACCTTCTCCTTAAAGCAAATCACAAAAAAGAATGGTTATTGGGTCCCATGGGAACTCAGAGTCTGCAATATATTTAAGCAGGCAGCAAGATGGCTGGAATTAGATATTCAGTGCCAGGTCTGGGAATCCTGATTGCCACTGAATAGCTACAAAATAGGGCCAAGGTGCAGGAATTTAGGGTGGGAGAGACTGTACTTTGCCTTGTGCACCCACTGCCTGTCCCTTGCCACTCCCTTCCTAGAGTCATTACTCGGCACAATGTTGGAAAACATACCCAGAACTCCTTGTAGCAGGGGGCAGAAAGAAGCTAGGGGAGGAATTGTGAGGAAAAGCTACAGGCAGAAGGGTTTATGTGCTTCTTCCCACTTAGTTTGAGATTAAATCCTCTTCATGCCCCTCTGTACCTGTTGGACTGCACTTGGATCTGCCGCTGAACGCCTAATTTTGCTATCACCAAATCACGATTTCCAGAGTTCTTTGGCGAACAGCTAAATTCATCTCCACAGGTAGACAACATACCATATTGCATGTGCACACCCCCTAATTAATTTAGAGTATAAGCAGGGGTTTTTTTCCAGCCAGAACTCACCAGAGCTCAGTTCCAGCACCTCTCAGGTAGGTGTTATTGCCATTCTAAGAGAACAAGGGAGGTGTTCATGGTGAGTTCCGACACATCTTTTTTCTAGAAAAATAGCACTGAGTACAAGGAACTGGCAGTTCTGCATCTGCAAGGAATTGATCATCTGTTGTGGTAGCACCTAGTCACTGGAATCTGCCTCTTTTGCCCATTCATATATCTCTGTTTTATTGTTTTTGGCACCTGCTAACCTATTTTTTTTGGGGGGGGGGGGAAAGCCTATCCACACAAGTAAATTTAACATGCAGTTTATTATGCATATTTGCTTTGGAACTGCTGGCCTTTTTAATATTTTGCTACATTTTATGTCAATTGTATTTTTAGCTTTCGATTTGGTTGCTATTTTTTAAATGAAGATCTTATGTCGCCTCATGTAAACCACTCAGAGGTTTCTGTCAATTAAACAGCATATAAATCTTGTCAAGTAAATAAAAAGAAACCAACATGTAAATGTGATGAATATGGTGAATCCAACATATGGTGTAGGTAGGAGGACAGCAGAAGATTCTTCACACTTTCCTTTTATAGAGAGTGCCTATGACCTTTTGGGTCCGTGGTGCAAGGGATGTTTGAGATTCATGGCTAATGCCATATATGCAGAATAGGAGAGAATGATTAGGGATGTAGGCAGCACGCCTCTTTGGGGAAATGCCTGGCACCCTTCCAACCAACTCGTAATTGCTTCACCGCGAAAAGCTGCAACGCAGACAGACGCAGCGACAGGAAAGGAAGAAAATCCCTAAAATGCTGAAGTTGGTGATGTAATGGGGATTTGATTCATAGCTGACCGCTGTTCTCAAGAGTCACCTTCGAGCGGAGGAGTGTGCTCCCCTCCCTCCACAGGCAGATGATTTACTGCTTGACAGGTAGCTCACCAAAGCCCTTTGGCTGGAATCAGATGGCTTGTCTGATCCCAGCCAGTACACATCCATTTTCTCATACCTTCATTCAGGAGGGAGCGAAATAAGGCTGACTGAGCACAGTGCATCTAACAAATGCTTTGTCGGGTTACAGGAGCTCAGGTATTAAAAATTTATTTCTACCAAGGCTGAAGCAACATTAAAAAAAACTAAATGAAAAAATGAAAAAGGGTGATTTATGGACAGGGAATTTCTCCGTGCTTCATAAAACCATCGTATCCTACAGCTGAGCATTTGTCAAATGCTACTTAAAAAACCTCACTAGCACCATTTTGGTTCTTTCATCCACAATGTTTATTCGGAAGCCAGGTTTGCATACAAAGCAATTAAATACAGTCAAACCTCGGTTGTCGAAAATAATACGTTCCGGAAGACCATTCGACTTCTGAAACATTCGACAACCGAGGGGCAGCTTCTAATTGGTTGAAGACCTTCTTGCACTCAAGTGGAAGCTGCATTGGATGTTTGGGTTCTGAAAAACGTTAGAAAACTGGAGCATTTACTTCGGGGTTTTCAGCATTCGGGAGCTGAAACGTTTGGAAATGGAGCCATTTGAGAACCGAGGTTTGACTGGAATCTCATTTTATTGCATATGTGTAATCACTTGTTTTCAGCGAGACGTTTTGTGTAGCTGCTAGGGGGTGGGGAACGTTGAGAACATGGTTAGAGCTTTAATCATAGTAACAGTAAAGATAAAGGTAAAGGGACCCCTGACCATTAGGTCCAGTCGTGACCGACTCTGGGGTTGCGGCGCTCATCTCACTTTATTGGCCGAGGGAGCCGGCGTACAGCTTCCGGGTCATGTGGCCAGCATGACTAAGCTGCTTCTGGTGAACTAGAGCAGCGCACGGAAACGCCGTTTACCTTCCCGCTGGAGCGGTATCTATTTATCTAATTGCACTTTGACATGCTTTTGAACTGCTAGGTTGGCAGGAGCAGGGACCGAGCAACGGGAGCTCACCCTGTTGCGGGGATTTGAACCGCCGACCTTCTGATCGGCAAGTCCTAGGCTCTGTGGTTTAACTCACAGCGCCACCCGCGTCCCTATGGTAGAGGATAGCAATTTATAAAGGGGGCTACCACGTTTGATATTGTATCCTCCTTTAACGACTCCAAGGCATACCTACTGCACTCTGTTTCATTCCCCACCCCATTAGACCACCTCTTTACACAGCAGGCAGAGGAGGATGGGTGGTGGTGCGTTTGCTAGTAGAAGAACAGCGTAAAGGGAATGTGCCTTTATAATCTAACTCTATAGCTTTCCAGATGGTGCCGAACTACAATTCCCATCATCCCTGACCCTTCGCTATTCTGGCTGGCCATTCTGTGAGCTGGAACCCCACAACATCCAAAGGGTAACAGGTTCCCTATCACTGTGCTAAAGGGACAAGTAGTAACCATTTTTTTTAAGGATCACACTAAAGCAAAAGTAAGGTTAGCTCACCTCAAGATAGTCTGAAGGAAGGAAGTCTTGGGTTTTTAAAAACAAACAGATTTGAGTGGTTAACTCGTTTTGTTGCATCTTTACAGTGCTGTCTTGGAGAGAATCCTGTGGTGTTACTGTTCAGAAATATACTTTATATATATTAAGTACTTGTTTTATTAAACTGAATGGGGAATTCAGTCTCTTGAGTGATCAGCTGGAAGTGACAGATGTGATTATGTAGCCCAGGTCAGGCCGAAGTCAAGAGCTACAGCAGCAAATGATGATTTGAGAGGCCAGAGGCAGGAATGTAGCCAAGGTCAGTTGGGTGGTTGGGTCCTAGAAATCATAATACCTGTGTTTGCATGGCTTCTCTTCACAATCTATTGCACACAATGGAGGAGCAAGCTTGAAGCAACCATACGGTAAGGCCAGCCAGGACCCTGCTGGCTCCCCAAGAGGGAAATCCGTATTTTGGATGGTAATTCAAAAACTATTGTATGTCTGCATTTCTACCATGTCCTGGTCCTTCTAGGGATGACACTGCTTCTTTTTAAAATAGTCTAGTAGAGGGAAGAGAGAGATTCCAGGGCCATGGGAATCTGATGCTTAGCTGTTTCCATTTTAGGACTATATTTGCTTTCACAGTAGGTTGTTAAATTGTTGTGTGGGCTTGGGAGCATTGCTTTGGCCATGTAAAGGTAAAGGTAAAGGTACCCCTGCCCATACGGGCCAGTCTTGACAGACTCTAGGGTTGTGCACTCATCTCACTCTAGAGGCCGGGAGCCAGCGCTGTCCGCAGACACTTCCGGGTCACGTGGCCAGCGTGACGAAGCTGCTCTTGCAAACCGGCACCAGAGCAGCACACGGAATGCCGTTTACCTTCCCACTATAAAGCGGTACCTATTTATCTACTTGCACTTAAGGGTGCTTTCGAACTGCTAGGTGGGCAGGAGCTGGGACTGAACGACGGGAGCTCACCCCGCCGCGGGGATTCGAACCGCCGACCATGCGATCGGCAAGTCCTAGGTGCTGAGGTTTTACCCACAGCGCCACCCGCGTCCCTTTGGCCATGTACTTGCTGCCAAAAAGTGTATCTGACTATTTCCCCCTCTCTTTTGTTAAAGTAGTCAAAGGAAAGTACAGTTATTAATTTGACTGTGGCGAGCAAACACTTCAAGTGTATTAACAATGCTTTTATTTTCATAATCCCAGGAACATTCAAAGTTTTGTAGATCTTATTCCACCTTTTTATTTTTCTGAAACACAAAAATGTGTTAAGTTATGCTGCAGGATTAGAAGGCGTAGTTATCAAAAGTAGGTCCTGCAAATCCTTATATGCTAATTTGAAAATTCACATGCTTGAATAGTTCCATGGACATAACACATTTAAGCTTTGTTTCTTTTCGTTATGCTATACTTATTTGTGTTTTGCCATTTGGAGGTCTGCTGCTGAACCAATTATACACCCAAATGTTTTACATAAGAGCTGCCTCTTGAGTCCTATTCATGCACCAGAAATAGTGGAACAAATACCACCAGGGCTTGCATTTGGCATAACATTTAAAAGGCACTGAATGCAACCCCAGCTTGCCAGGCAACCTATGCAACCCCAACTTTACCTGTTCCACTCGTGACATTGTACAGCAATTTTGGTCAGGGATAGTCTGGCTATTGTGACCTATGCATTGATAAACTCAAGACTTGATTACTTTAACACACTCTGTGTGGGGCTACCTTTGGACCTGGTCTGGAGGCTCTAATTGGAGCAAAATGCTGCAGCTAGACTGTTGACGGAGACAGGCTCTCATCAGTACATAACTCGGGTGCTCAAAAGTTTTCACTGCCTTCCCCCACACCAGGGCCAAGCTCAAGGTTACTGCACTATTTTGCAGCTTTGCTTAACAACTTTGCTCCACGATTCCTTAAGGCAGTGTTTCTCAAACTTGCGTCTCCAGCTGTTGTTGGAGTACAACTCCCATCATCCCTGACCACTGGTCCTGTTAGCTAGGGATGATGGGAGCTGTAGTAAAGCTAGAGACCCAAGTTTGAAAAAACACTGCCTTAAGGGCTGCCTCATTCCTTATATCTCTGCATGATCCTGAAGATCTTTGTGGAGTCACTGTTAGTGTTCCCTCATGGCTTGAATGCATGACTCCTGTTCCTCAGTATTGTGGGCCCAATTTTGTGGAACTCCTTTCCAGCTGAGGTCAAACAGGCCCTCTCCCTGTTGAACTTCCAGCACCTACTGAATATTTTTTTACAGCAGGATTTTTAACTGATGTTTGATTTTGTAGCTTAACTGATTGTTTACTTTTTGTGTTGTATCCTTATAAACCACTTAGAGACTATTGTAGTTACTCAGTATATAAATTGTTTAAATAAATATATATGGCATTTGGTGTGAGGATATAGTATTGGTGGGCCTAATCTGGCTGCAGATTGAAGGCTCCCCAACCCTGTTTTAAAGGATGTGCTGCTTTTTCTAAGGAGGAAATATCCAAATGTGAGCAGGAAACACGATCATCATGCACTGGAGTTGGAAATGATAGAGCCTGATGATTTTCCTGTAGTATGGGCAGAATTCAGCAAATGCATCTGAGGCGTGTGGTATTGACCCCATGCATGGAAGAGGATATAAATAAAGCCATTGCTTTGTATTCATTGTTTGCTTGTCTTATAATTAAGAGCACTTTAGCTTCTTCTTTACCTTCACCTCCACCTCCATGCTTCTGTGTAACTCCCTCTAATTTGGAAACCACTTAAAACATGAGTCAACCATGAAATTATGCAGTCACTGGCTTTCCCTCACAGATAAACTATATTTGTGATGGAGAGTTATACAGGGGAAAATATATATATATTAGGACTCTCCTTTCCTTACAAGATCCTATTACATGCTTTCTTCAAAGGGCATGGAGACCAGGAAAAATTGCTGCTTGCCATACATCAAAACAAAGTGTAGTAGTGCTTCCTTTTTTTGATATCCCCCACCCAAGGGAACTCTGTCTCTCTACCCTACTAGGTCAGCACTAATGTTGCTTGTATCCTCATATGCAAGCAGGGCTGCTGCTTCCTTGCCTCCCCACCCCCACCTGCAGTTTTGCCACAATTGGGCTCTGTGGTGGCAAGTGAGGCCTAGCAAGGTTCATGAGGCAAAGAGGGGCAAGGTTCAGGAAAGAGGCAAGGCTCGTGCTGTACTCTGGGAAACACGGTGCTCTGCCATTGTCGTGATCTGAGAAACAATTGGGAGGCAGTAATGCTTCTGAACACCAGTTTCTGGAAAACACAGGAGAGGAGAGTCCTGTTTGCGAGTTTCCGACAGGCATCCGGTTGGTCACTGAGAGAACAGGATGCTGGACAAGACGAGCCTCTTCCACCGGGCTCTTCTTATGCCATTACTCTAGGAAGAAATAAGCTGGAGCGGAGTCTTTCTACAGCAGCAGGGGCTTGTGCAGCCAAATAGTTAGCACCGCCTGAGCAGCAAAATACTGCTCTACTTAAAGGACCCAGCCTCCTTCAGTCATCTCCTACTGAGCCTCAGGTCTTCCTGGGTTTTTAGCTGTCAAGTCCTCTGAATCAGAGATTGTGGTGCTGCAGAGATTGTGGGGCCTCACAGGTTATTCTGAAAGCATTTGTGGGACTGGACCTGCATGTCCTTCCCCTCACTCCTCAAAAATGAGGAACATGGCTCCAGGGTCATGACAGCCACAGCT